GTGACTTTCCTTTCCACAATAAGAACAAACTTTAACACTAGTATTGCTATGAAACCTCTTCCTCTGAAGGAATTGTATTGTCCTCTGCCTGTTCCTCTGTGAAACTCAGATTCTCTGGTGAAACTCAAGCATTTTGTTGTTCCCCAGGTTGTATCAATTTTCTCATTACTCGATTACAAAGAACGTTTGGGGCTCCACTAGACCCTACATCTGCCTTTCTTGTTGTATTACTAAGGAGAAAAACCTTGTTAATTTGAGTAAGGGTTCAATTAAATGATCTGAGGTTGACGTTAGAAAAATTTCTTTCATGAGTCCCTTAAAAACCTGACTAACATAATCTGCTTGCATATAGCTCTTAAAAGTCGAAATTTGCACCCCACAATCCTGCAGGTTATTTCACTATGACAAAATAGGTATTTGGCCTAAATTCAACAGTTCATTCCCATAAGATCTTTAAAACTGTGTAAAATATTCAGTAACTGAAAAGATCACCTTGTTGAAAGCCATAGATTCTTCTTGCAAGTCTGAAATTCGTATAATGTCGCCTTGAGAAAAAACGATCTGCGCAAATCATTCCAAACTCAGCCAGCGATGTCTATCCACAAAAAACATTCTGAGCAATTGAAGGTGAAAGTGTATAATGTCGCCTTGAGAAAAACGATCTCGCAAATCATTCCAAACATCAGCAGCGATGTCTATCCACAAAACATTCTGAGCAATTGAAGGTGAAAGTGATTTAGTAATCCAAGATAACACCATAGTGTTGCATCTCTCCCAAGTTGAGTGCATCAGGTCTATTTTTGCTGGAATTATGATTGAACCATCTATAAAAGAGAGTTTGCTTTTGGAAGCCAGCGCCATTTTCATTGCCCTGGCCCAAGAATGGTAATTTGATCCATCAAGAATCGGTGATACAAGAATCAATGCAGGATTCTTGTTTGGGTGAAGGAAGAAAGGATTGGAAGGATTTTGAAGGTGATCCGCCATTGCAGATTAAAGGAAAATTTATGTAACTTTTCAAGCATAAGTTAATAACAAGAAGCAAATGAAGAAGCTTCTAGAAAAATGAATGCAGGAAAAGCAATTGCTCTGATACCATGAAACGAGATCTGATTGAAGGAAAAATAAATCTTCTTACTATTAATCTGTGAGTTCTGATTATATACAAGAATAAGAAGATAACAGAAAAGCAATAACAAAGGAGGAAGTTGTAACTGCCTATAGAGTCGTGCTAACAAACTAAAAATAAGTTACAGCTAATCTATTGCCAGGTAAGCAATTAGTTACTTAGTGGGTCAGTCTCTTTTTTTTGCTTTCTTTTCATTTTGTTTGCATCTGCTGTGAATTTGTCACTTTCATTTATGGTTAATACTAATCTCCAAATTTCTCTTAACATTCCATCTTTAAAGCCATAATTCTCCGGTTCACTCTATCTTCAAATTGTTTAATTGCTTGAAATTGCTCATTTTTCTGTCTGACGTAAATCTTTACCATTCTCAACTTGATATTGATTTTCAACTAACCATTAGAAATTTCGTTCTTGAGTCAAAATTTATTGGGAGTTTTTTTTGTTTAATCATGATATGTTTGTAAGTTGGTTGTCTCATTTTTTATTTATTTTATTTTTTTAAGGATTGATTGAACTTTTAGTTGTGGGATTTGCATATGGTTTCTAATTTTATTGCAGAAAAGGATAAAATTTACTGTTAGGGCTTGCCAAATTCATTTACATCAAGCCCATTGATTGTTGATTTTGTATAGTATTTGAAAAGTTATTTTCAAACTCTATACATGGCTTCAAAAATTGCTTCTTTAGATAGTTCTCGACTCTTCTAAAACCTAACTTTCTCATCCTTCTTCTACTTTTTTTTTTTTTTAATTAAAAATACCAGTTCCCTTGTAGAAGCTGCAATAGTTCTCCATCACCATTTAAACGCAAGATATCCCATATAATGTTTTATATGGGTTGATTTTGATTGATATATAAGAATTTGACAATGATATCCAAATTGATGAGCTTGACATAGATTACAAGTTTAGATTGATCTTCTCCTTTTTTTTTTTTCTTTTATTGTGCTAGTTTAATAGTCGTTTGAGCTATTGTTACATGAAATGTTAATTTTCTTTAGTCTTCTTGATTCAAGTTGATTGGTAAACTTGATTATTTTTGTCGTGTTAATTTCCAGAGTTACTTATTAGAAAAGCCAAATAGGCATAAATAAGCACACAAAATGGAGACCTTATCTCTTTTGAAAAAAAGAATTTAATTCTTTTTATATTGTGTGCTCCACCCTCTTTTTCAGCATAATAAATGAACTATTTTGGACTCTTTTCCATAAGTTATGGGTTTTTTGGCCAAAAAAAAATGGGTATATTGAACATTTAATCTAAGTTGGGGGAGTAAAATGGGCCATTTTCTAAAAACTTTTGATATTTTTTATTAATGTAAAATTAAATTTTATCTCTCTTTCATGTTAAAATTCTTTTTAAAAGTGATTAAATTGACCAAATTAGGTATTAAAATATTTTACCTATATCAGATTTCCGTTTTTCTTTATATGATTCGATTGGTGAACATTTTTTTTTTTTTTTAATGATGATCGGCAAACCTAAATTTGAATGAGTTTATAAATGAGATAATTATATCTTTAGTATATGAATTTTTATGTTTTTTCTATTTTGATATGTCAACGAAAACAGTAACGATTGAGCGTCTCAATTTATAGAATTTTACAATTAGGGGTGTCTCTAAATGATATGGCTAATTGGAAAATTGATTTTGCATACGTGGCCCATTTTTTACTAAGGGGCAGTTGACTTGGCGAAACATGAGCTGAAGTTTTTGCCAAATAAGCCAAGGGTGACATGGAAACCACGAAAATCTCCATTATAACTTCCATTTAATGCTTCCCAACTACCTCCTTCTCTTCCTTCTATTTTCTATTGATCAAATTCCTAAAATCAAATGTATCTTACTTTTTTTATCTAAAATGCATTCCATTGAATCACAACCAAGTAGTTCAAAAGCGTGCAAACAACCGGTGTATAACATTCCAATGAACAACATATAACCTGCAAACTTAATCTTTAAAGCCCTATTTTGCTTAACATAACTCTGCAAGTCCAGGAAATCTAACTATGGTATCCAATCTCCAACATTCAAAACTCCATTAAGCAAAAACAAATCAGCTAACATTTCTTAAAATTCTTCAAGCGCTAGTATGTAGTGTACTCATCGGTGGCAGTTTGAGGTCTAGAGGCAAAGATCTGATAGTTTGATTTTAAGATTTGCTTTGCTATTTCTGTTGATGAGGCTACTGTGAATGGGAAGGAGCTGAACTTAAGTTGCATTATAGGTCCACATTTTTGTGACAATCTGTGTAGAGATTGATGTGGGAGAGGGCCATGGTTTTGGGCCTATGGAAGTTTCTGGGAATGGAATGCATTTGAGGTAAAAAAAAAAAAAAACGATAGAATTTGATTTTAGGGATTTGATATATAGAAGGAAGAGAAGGAGGTAGTTGGGGAGCACTAAATGGAGGTTAAAATGAAGATTTCCCACGGTTTTCATGTCACCATTGGCTTATTTGGTGAAAATGAGTTCAATTGGCTTATTTGGTGAAAATTCAACTCATTTTCACCAAGTCAGCTGCCACTTAGTAAAAAATGGGCCCGCACATGCAAAATCAATTTTCTGGTTAGCCAGTCAACCGTAGACATTCAATTGCAAAATTTTATAAATTTAGACATTCAATCGTTACTGTTTTCTGTCGAGACACTGGAATAAAAAAAATATAAAAATTCAGACACTAAAGATATAATTATCCCGTTTCTAAATTGATTAATATATATTTTGAGTTTTAAAATATTATAAGCTCTGATCCTCAATTAAATTATTAAGAAAAAGTTATTTTCCGAAAATAAATGAAATTTAAAATTTATAAGATAAATTATGGTTATTAATATCATATGTTATAAGAAACTATATTATGAAAGGTTTTTTTTTTTTTAAAGGAATATATCGTGAAGGTTATTTGGTGATACGTATGTAACACTAAGATATAATTGTAATAAAAAATCAAATTCTATCAAAATAAGTGGATTTTTCAAATAAATTCTATAAAATTAAACTATCTAATTATAAATAACAAAACTAACCTTGATTAAGCTGTAAGAGATGTTGTGTTATTTTTTCCCAATTGTTCTGCAATTTGTCTGCTTTAATCAGATTATTGTTTTTGAAGTTGATGTTCATTTATCAATAAAGTAATTTCAACTTTTTGAACGTATCTTTTTTTTTTCTTTTTTGTAAATTCAGATCGATTGCAAATAAAAAAAAAAATACAGATATATTTTAATCAAAAATAAATTTACATAATTTATTTTTTTAATTAAATTTGGTTCCAACTTCTATCATCTGTCTTATTTTTATAACTTCCACATAATATTTTCTTGATTGTACAATTAATAAAAAAAAAAAACTCCTTTAGGGGCATACCTACGTGATTCGTATTCCCTAGCAGAGGCCCTTTTAGAACAAAGGCTTCTATATCAGTAGCATTTACTCAAACTGCAAAATCCAAATGGAACTTAGGAGAAAATGTTAATTTCTCATATATCAAACTGCAAATCCAAATGGAACTTAGGAGAAAATGTTAATTTCTCATATATATATATATATATACTATATATATATATATATATATATATATTAATTTGTTTACAATAAATTTCCACGTTAATGATTCATTGTTTCTTAATATTAATTTGTTTACAAATAAATTTCACGTTAATGATTCATTTGTTCTAAATAATAAAATATAGTGTTAAACTCTGAAGTCCAATGGGCTGGTGTCAGAATAAACCAAGAAAGCAGACCTTGATGAGCAAAAAATTAGAAACTACAAGGCCCAAACCCGGTTTCATTCAAGGAGGGGCAGTTTCGTCATTCTATTAAAAATACAGGCAGCATCCGTTCTGTGTCTCTCTGTACGTTTCTCTCTCTGACCCCACCTTCTCATTCTCTCTCTAAAATTTCCTGTTTTTCTTCTTCGAAAAACTGACGTCTGCGTTTCTCGTATCTATCCTATTTTTTCTCTAACCCTAAACTTTTCTATTTCAGTTACTAAAATCCGTACAGATTCTCCTCTTCAATTCAATCCAATCCAAAATCGTATACCGGCATATTTACTTATATTCATATGTAATTTATTCATGGGCAAATATAATAAATATTTGCTGAGATGATTCAAATCCCAATCTGAAGACAACCTTCGGCGTTTGAGAAGGAAATTGGAAACGCCATCTGATCCATATATGGCGAACGGAACGGACGTCAAGGATATGCTGGTGGCTAAGGTTCGACCAGGTCTAAAACGGGAGTTTGAATTTGCGTTCAGGGCTCTCTCGGAGATCTCTGGTTCGTTAGGTCGGACCCGTGCTAAACGGGTTCAGAGTGGAGCCTCCCCAACGAATGGAAGTGCGGAGAGATCTAATAACAAGAAAAGATTGAAGGCTAGTGGCTCAAAGGAGTCCGTGAAAGGGGAAAAAGTGAGGGATTTGGAGGAGAAAGTTGTGGGTTGTGGAGAGGAAGTGGAGGTTGTGAAGGAAGAGGAGGCGAAAAGTGATTTGGTGGAACTGGGGAGTGGAGATGAGGAGGCAAAGGTTGGATTGATTGAATCAGTTCCTCTTTTAGGAAGGGAAGTCAATGGTGTAGATATCGAGATTGTGGAAGAGAAGGATAATAGAGTTGCTTCAATGTGTGTAGAAGAGACACAGAAGAAAAATGAACTCGAAAAGCCAGTAATAAGTGAGGACATGCAGAGAAATGATGTTAATTGGAATGGTGTATGTGAGGAAAGGCCTGGTGGGTCATTAACAAATTCCTTGAATAATGAGGATTTAGAGGACAAGATTAGCTTGGATAAGGTTATGATGGATGAGGGTTTAAGAGTGGGTGATATGAATGATACATACGAGGAAGGAACTAGTGACTTGGTGCCAGTTTTAATGGAAGAGGAGTCAAAGAACAAACTGGAGAAGGCGACGGTTTTAGAAAGCATCAGTGATTCTGAATTAAAGGGCGACAGAAACATTGTATGTGCAGAAGGGACTAGCAATTCATCCGCAATTGTTGCTAACAGCGAAGGGGTTGAAATACAATCATCGCCAGTTTTGGTTAATGATATTAACGGTAAGGTGGAGGAGAAGCCTTTTAGGCGGTTTACCAGGTCATTGCTGAAGCCAAAAACAGAGACAATGAAAGAGTTCAATGCTAAACTTGAGAATAAGTTGTATAAGGTTATAATGGCCTTTTAGGAGGTTTACCAGGTCATTGCTAAAGCCGAAAACAGAGATAGTGGAAGAGTTCAATACTAAAGATGAGAATACCTTGGATAATTCAAAAGAGGTTGATAGAAATGACATATGTGAGGCGGGAACTAGTAGGTCGGTGCCAGTTTTAATGGAAGAGGATTCAAAGAACGTAATGGAGAAGGTGACAATAAACTTGGTTCTAGAACGCAACAGTGATTCTGAAGTAAAGGGCGACATGAAAAATGTATGTGAAGAAAGGATTAGCATGCCTTCTGCAGTTGTTGCTAACAGCGAAGGGGTTGATATACAATCATCGAGCTTTTTGGTTAAAGGTAACAATGGTAAGGTGGAGGAGAAGCCTTTTAGGAGGTTTACCAGGTCATTGCTAAAGCCGAAAACAGAGATAGTGGAAGAGTTCAATACTAAAGATGAGAATACCTTGGATAATTCAAAAGAGGTTGATAGAAATGACATATGTGAGGCGGGAACTAGTAGGTCGGTGCCAGTTTTAATGGAAGAGGATTCAAAGAACGAAATGGAGAAGGTGACAGTAAAAGGGGTTTTGGAAAGCAACAGTGATTCTGAAGTAAAGGGTGACAGGAACAATATATGTGAAGAAAGGATTAGCATTTCGTCTGCAATTATTGCTAGTGGCGAAGGGTTTGATAGGAATCATACACGTGGGGAAGGAACTAGTGGGTCGGTGCCAGTCTTAATGGAAGAGCATCCAAAGAAGGAACTGGAGAAGGCGACTTCAAACGGGTTTTTAGAAAGAAACTGTGATTCTGATGTAAAGGGCGACAGGAACAATTTATGTGAAGAAGGGGCTAGCTTGTCTTCTGCAATTCTTGCTACTAGCAAGGGGGTTGTTATACAACCATTGCCAGTTTTGATTAATGATAGAACTGTTAAATTGGAGGAGAAGCCTTTTAGGAGGTTTACCAGGTCATTGCTGAAGCCAAAAATAGAGACAGTGAAAGAGTTCAATTCTAAAGATGGTGTAGAAGGAAATAATGGGAGCGGGAGATCAAGTGGGGCTGATCATATAGGTAGTTCATCTGCTGGGCTTTCAAAGATGTTGAGGATTGATTCATCAAGGAAGTTCCCTACAAAATTGAAGGATCTTCTTGATTCAGGTATATTGGAGGGACTGAAAGTGAAGTATATGCGTTCTAAGGTACGAGTCATCATTCCCATAATAATTGATATGAATTACTTCTGGCTGGTCTTGTTTGAATTCTTAGCGAGGATTATTTCTAATTGCAGGCTAGGGGGGCTGGAGAGGCAGGGTTGTGGGGAGTTATCAAGGGATCAGGGATTCAATGTTTTTGTCGTGTTTGCAAAGGACAAGAAGTGAGTAACATGTATACTTTTGAAATGTTGTTATCCTGTTTGTATAGTTGAGCAACGGTATTTGATTGAATTATTAAGTGTACTTTGTTCCTGGATTGTAAATTTAGGTTGTTACACCTGCTTTATTTGAGTTGCATGCTGGCAGTTCAAATAAACGTCCACCAGAATATATTTACTTAGAGAACGGGAACACACTTCGTGATGTGATGAATGCTTGCAAGGATTCATCATTGGAGAATTTGGATGCAGCTGTGAGGCTTTCTAGTGGTTGTTCATCTTTGCAGAAATCTACCTTCTGCCTGAATTGCAGAGGTTTCTTTTACGCAATCTCTGTTATAATTTAATTTCTTTCTGCATGGGTACAATCTCAGATATTAAATGTTGGTGGAATCTTTGGTGGTTTGTAGGATCTATTGCTGGGACTGGCACTGGAAAATCAATGGTATTATGTAGTCAATGCATTGGATTCAAAGAGTCTCAAGCTGGCATGCCGGTAACAACAGATAATGACAAAGGGTATGCAGCACTTTATCACTCTGCTTTGAATGGTCACACCTAAATAGTTGGCAATCAGTAAGAATCGGGTAACATATTGGTCATTGTGTTTATATTTATATTACATTAGTTAATAATCTGTGTTGGTTAGACTTGTTATTGTTATTGGATGAACCCCTCCATTTTACATGGTATGCTTTTCCTTATACTTGAGGGATCCATATGTAATTAGTAATTGCTTATGTTCTTTTTCAGTAGATATTGATCATATATGAAAGCAAATTCCACATTTTCCTTTCTTAGCTTTTAATTATTAAAGTATCATCTATGGTTACGGCTCCACCAAGTCTCAGTTACTTGACAATATTTGTATTATAGATCATCGTGTCTTCATATGATTTGCTATCTTAAAAGTTGTTAATTGGTTTATCTTCTGTTTGAACATTTATTTTGTTGAACCTAATGAAACCTTTGCCTGTAATCAGGATTTGTGTTTTAGCTATACAGATACTTCTGCACATAGAAAACTGGGTGTTTGTGTTTGAAAGTAGATTCCTGCAGGCTGGAACTCTTTAGGCCTTTTCTAGTTTGCATCTTATAAAATTACTACAGAAATTTTGTTTTATTTTTTTCTGTTCTTTTGCTTCAGAACTCCAAAACAAATTCCTCTTCCAAAGTCGACTGAAAGTGCGATAAAGTGCAGCACATCACGAAGCAAGAGTCAGGGGAGGCTTACAACGAAGTAATCTTTCTCATTTTTCTCCAATATCTGGGATTCATCTTGCTTTCTTATATTAACTATTTTTTACTTAATTTTTATCAGTGTCTAGTGTTCATAATCTAGACAAAGGTCTAAGTTATTGGTTGTTCCATGTATTTTTCAATAGGGATTTGCGGATGCATAAATTGGTTTTTGAAGAAGATGTCTTGCCTGATGGAACTGAAGTTGCTTATTATTCTCGAGGACAGGTGTTGCTACATGATGTGAAGTCTGTTTTTTATGCATTTGATTCAAATTTATTTTTGCTGAGTTGTAATGTGTTGTTGGGCAGAAACTATTGGTTGGTTACAAGAAGGGTTTTGGCATATTTTGTTCCTGCTGCAATGCTGAGGTTTTTTTTTTTTTCTTCTGTTGGATTCGTTTCTTTGATGAATATTCTGTTAGAGAGTGATTTCTTAACATTTAATGAGCAGGTCAGCCCCTCCCAATTTGAATCCCATGCTGGTTGGGCATCACGTCGAAAACCGTGAGTTTATCTGTTCAAAATCTTTTGTTTATCTCCAAACTGATGCTGCCATTGACACTGTGCTATATTAATCAGTAATCAAAAACTTATAGTTACGCACCAGTTGGCATGTTTTAAATGGCAAGCCCTGCAATCACTAGGATTGCCTACTTTTCAATTCGAAGCAATGAGAAATTGGAAGCAAAGTTTTTTTTTTTTGCATTTCTATTTTATTTAACCTTAATTTCTTGCTTGCATTTTTTTTTTTGTTTGAGCAGCTATCTACATATTTACACATCTAATGGGGTGTCTCTTCATGAATTGGCATTGTCACTATCAAAAAATCGGAAGTTTTCTACTCATGAAAATGACGATCTCTGCCAGATTTGCAAAGATGGTGGGAATCTTTTGTGTTGCGATACATGTCCAAGGTCTTATCACAAAGGTGTGCATGTGTTTTGCTTATTTGCAAATGATTTCTAATATGTTACATTTAAATAATGAAGATGAACTGAAATACAGAGGGGACAATAGTTGAATAAAGGATCCACTATTGGCATTGCTTTGTTAGGTAAAAAGGAAATTTATAGAAAAACAATAAAGTGTAATATCTTTTTGCTGTAAAGGAAAGCACCATTGAAGAAGAGACAACAATTTTATTGAAATGATAGTTCATTTCTTGAGCCTTTCTGTTTCATTGTATATTCATCTAATTTTGATATTAATCCATGACTCATTGCAACTTTATAATCTATAAGCCATTGCAACTCTGTAAGGTGACAGTGCTTTGGGCCTGGTGTAGGATTGGAAGAGTGGACTGAGAAAGTTGTGACTAGCTTGTATTTTCCTAGGAGAAAGATGATTTGGAGAGAGATAGCTATTTGTCAAGGAAAGTTATGGTTGTCATCCATAAGGAAAGTAGATGGGGAACTTCTTGTTGGTATCTGTTAGCTCTAATTAAGCTCTGTGCAAACCATGAATCTTTTTATTTAGATCAACAATATAACATCACAAGCATTAGTGTGGAAATATCATAAACAAATTTAGGAAATTTTTTATATTATTTAAGAATCAGTAGAAACATATTCTCATGGTTTAAATATTTTAAAAACATTATTGCTCTTAAAATCAATAATAATGTGCATGTTTAACATTTTGAATTAATTTATTTCCAATATTCTTTTTGTATTGTTTTCTTTATATTCGAAATTATTTAATTGCATTTGGTGTCTCAATAATTCAATTATTTACAGCATTATTTTAGTTTTTAGTCAAGGATGAATGTTTCTCAATGAATTTTTGGTTGAAATAATTTTTTAATAAGAAATACTATTATATTGTATTTGGATTTCGGTATGATTTTTTTTCTTTGAACTGGTTTAGATAATGAGGATTCTGTCGAGTAACTGATATTGCTAATGTTTTATTAATAATAATAATAATAATAATATTATTATTATTATCATCATCATTTTGAGATGCAAATATGGGACGGAATGAGAGAAGAAATGGAAAAAAAAGGTCTAAAACATTGCCGTTGTACCGTATTGTAAATCAACAACTATTGTTGAAATTATCATTATAAGATTTCAATCATACAATATGAAGGCCTCAGTTGTCCATGTGAGTTTATTAGAAGACATTTTTTGCAACACATAAAATATATTACCCAACTAAAGACTTGATCCCCAAAGTCACTGTTCCTATGAACAGTGGTTTTGGGATTGTTTTAGTATATATATAATTTTTATTTAACTGTTAACCAGTTGGGTAAAGTATACCTTTGTATTCTGAATTTGTTAAATGACGTGAGTATTAATAGGCATAATACATCAATAAATAATTAGATATATAATTATGCTAATGTTATTGCAATGGTATGTGTCTTTGTCTGGCTTCATAACTTGAATTCCTGATCCAATTTAATGTAGTATGCTCAAAATTGGGTACCTAGGTTTCCATGAAGGTAATTCTGCATTGTAGTTTTACATTTATTCAGCATTGTTACCCATGAACATTCAGGTTGATTATCATCCTCTGTTTTGGTTATTTGATGTTCAATTATATTTCAATTGCAGAATGTCTTTCTCTACCAGAAATTCCGAAGGGTAAATGGAATTGCAAATTTTGCTTCAACAACTTCCAAAAAGAAAAGTTTGTGGAGCGTAATGCTAATGCAATAGCAGCAGGAAGAGTTGCAGGAGTTGATCCTATAGAACAAATAACAAGGCGGTGCATTCGTATTGTCAAAACGCTAGATTCTGAATTTGGTGGATGTGTGATATGCAGGTGCAGTTCTCTTATTTCATCATGTTGAATGTGAATGCATAGTCCTTTACCTGTTATTTTGATTCCTGTTCTTTGTTTAAACATATAATACCTAAGTTATCCTACAGTTAATATTAGATTGCATTTGCATCTGATGTTCTGATGTCTTGTTAGAGCTGTAGGTAGATTTAATTGATGCTAGGTGGCACAAGGTTGGTTCAGTATAAATCCTTTGATTTGGCAAATTTGATGCACAGAGTTGCTGTGTATGTTCTTTTCTTGGTTTGGGCCCTTTGATGTCTGAATGCATTGCTTAGGCCTGAGTTGTGAATTCTTTCCTCTTTTTGGCACACTGTTTTATGTGTTGCTTCAAGTGTAGTTTTTTAATATAAGCCTTATCTTTGCAGAGGCCATGATTTTGCCAAGTCATTTGGTCCTCGTACTGTTTTACTTTGCGATCAGGTACTCTTTGTTATATTATATTATATCTGCACTTGTAACATTTTTTTGGTTTTCTAACCATGCTGTTTACTAATTTTATTACAAAATTACCTGCTCTAATTTTTGCTGAATTTCTCTAGTGTGAGAGAGAGTTTCATGTTGGCTGTTTAAAGGATCAAAACATGGAGGATCTAAAGGTGCCACGATTTTGTGTTTTTATCATTCAAAAGTTTCTAGGATCTAGTTTTTATTAAATGAAGAAATATTGATATAATTTGTTCTGCAGGAGTTGCCTAAAGGGAATTGGTTTTGTTGCACAGAATGCAGCAAAATTTATTGTGCTTTGCATAGATTGGTTGCTCGTGGAGAAGAGAGGCTTCCAGATTATTGCCTAGATGTTATAAGAAAGAAGCATGGGGGAAATGATTCAGAGACTGGGGAAAAGAAGAATGAAGAAAGCAGTTCAGTTACTGGGAGTGGCATTGATGTGAGATGGAGGCTTCTTAATGATAAAATTGATCCTTCTGGTGACACTGCAGCTTTGTTATCTGAAGCCCTTGCTATTTACCATGTGGGTGACTTGACTTTTGCTATACTAAGACTATCTGTTTGAAAATAATAGGAAATGAATATGCTGTTGTTGTTTTAATAAAAGTGTTCATATTGCTGAAATTTGAGTCAAAAGCTACACAAGGAGGTTACACATCTGCTGCTTGCCGTTTGGGCCTGTGTAATTTGATATATTCCTTTCAATTATATTATTTAGGAGAATGCCATATTGTTATTTAGAGTTTAATTTTTATTTTTTAATTATTTTCTATACCTTTGATGTTTGCAGGAACGCTTTGATCCTATATATGTAACTGGAACTTCTAGCAAAGCTGACCGTGACCTCATCCCAGCAATGGTTTTTGGGTAAGCAATAATATGCACTAGTCTCTGCATATGGTATCTTGAATGTCTTCCTGTTGTTTCTTACCCATTTTTCACTTTTCTTTCTTTCTATGTGATTATTACTGCTTGTGCCGCATTGCATTTTCTGGTGAATGATTGTATTAATTTGTTTTTGTAGAGAGAACCTCCAAGGGCAGGACCTGGGTGGCATGTATTGTGCCATATTGCTTGTCAAGTAAGAAGCTTGAATGAATTTTTTCCCCCTCATATCTTGAACAATACTAATTACTTCTACGCTTTATGCAGCAAAGTGGTCGTGTCTTCTGCAATCATTAGGTTTTTTGGGCCGGAAATGGCTGAACTTCCTTTAGTTGCAACTAGTACCAAAGCCCAAGGACAGGTGATATGATATATGCATTGCTTGAATCACCCTTCATATGTTTTTTCATTGTCTGTGTATGTTTGAGGATATTTCATTTCGGACTAAAGTGGCCTGTTTAAATCTGTAGGGATACTTTCAGGCCTTATTTGATTGCCTTGAAAAGCTACTTGGGTTTCTCAACGTAAAGAATCTTGTGCTTCCTGCAGCAGAAGAAGCTGAGTCTATTTGGACAAATAAATTTGGCTTTGACAAATTGACCCAAGAAGAGGTGTGTGCATGTCATCATGTTTTGCATAGTACATCTTTATATCCACCTATATATGCATGTGCATTCTGTACTAGTATCCTAGTACTTTTGGACAATCTCATTCTGTAATTTGCAATAGTTGTAGCTATGAACATATATAGGCAACACATTTGTACATTATGTTTAACATATACAATCTGTTATTGCAGTTTATAAAATTTAGGAAAGAATATCAAATGATGGTCTTTCAAGGGACGGCAATGCTGCGAAAATCAGTCCCTAAGTGCCGGATTGTTGGTCGACCAGAAGGCGGTTAAATATTCTGAGGGATGTGAATGCTTTTTGTAGAAGAGGGGGAAGCAAATTTTTTCAGGAGTCTTTTCCTTGTGTACATGATCGGGTTTTTGCAGTGTAGTAGTGTACAGGAGATGTAGATGATGTTATAGATGAAGCTTACAATTCTTTTTGTAGAAGGAAAGTGGAGAAGGATCATTCATAGCCATAGGCACATTTAATAGAAGATAATACAGGAGTAAAAGTTTTGAAGGAGCAACAAATTTGGCTGTTGACTAGCTAAGTTTTGAAGTAGTTGAATAGATTTTGGGAGCTTAATTTTGTTCTTGGAAATGAAATTCTTTTGGATTTTATATTTTGCTTGAATGTTAACAACGCCATGATGCAGCAATTGTATTTGTTGATATTTGATTTTGGCATGTCGATGAATGGGAAGCAAAATATAGAACCAAAATGGTCTTTCATTTATTTGTTTGTAGGTCCAATTTCAAATTGCCAAACAAATGTTTCGTTATTCAATTACTCAAATTATAGTTATTTAATTTTTTTGAATAACAAATGTTGAAATTAAATTCGAAATTATTCCAAGAATATGTAGTAATGATAATTTTATATATTATTTTAATAAATAAATATAACTTTTAAGTATTTCTTCCTCTTCACCTAAAATTGTTATGCTCTCACTTTGGCATTTGAAATTCTTGAAGCATTTAAAAGGTATATTAATATTATAATCAGTTTTTTTCACTTCATAATAAAAATATTTTATATTTAATCTGCTTAATAATTTGTTTATGGTGTACTTTGATTATAATATGATAAAGAGAGTAAACTAGGAAAAATATTATTTTATGCATATTACAAAAAAAATAATATTAAAACAATAAAAGAAAGTTCTAGAGGAGCCGTACAGCTCCAAGGAAAAAGTAGAACTTCGTACTAAGGAAAGGATATCGAAAAAAGGAGGAAAGGAATTGAAATGTTGTGTGAACAATATTTGGAAAAATAAAAAACATTTTAAAATTTTCATTTTATTTTAGTTTTAGAGGAGAAATTATTTTTTTATTCGATTTCATTTTCATTAAATTCAAAAAAAAATTATTCAGATGGTCAATTTGACTTCTGTTTACTTCTATATGTTATCCGATTTGATTTAATTTTTATCTTTAACATTTGTTTTATATATTCAGTCAGGGTGATTATTAGGTTGGTTCCATCAAAATTTGATTAAAAGCTAGAAGCGGGAGGTATTCAAAATTTGAAATTCAAAAATCTTACACCTTTCACATTTTCAAATTAAATTAATCCTTTTTTTGGAAACCACATTTACTGTATGCCCCAATGAATTATTTCTATTTACGCTATTGTCCGCTTAATATCACAACCGATATATCTCTACGCTTTTTTTTTCACTCTGTTCATTTCTTACTCTTTCTCTCTCTCCCTCTGTAAGGTACGATTTGTCCTTTTCAATTCTCTGCTTATTGATCGGTCTACTTGCGATTCCATTTCATGTCGGTTTCTGTTTCTTGATTTGGAATTATTTCGTTTCTTTTACAGATCAAAAATCTCTGAAGAAAGTCGAAACAACTGACTCGAAAGTCGAATTTGATTCTAATCAAAAGCCCTAGTAAAAATGGGTCAGATCCAGTATTCTGAGAAGTATTTCGATGACACTTTCGAGTACAGGTATTGATATTACTAATCACTGTCGCTTTGATTTCTTCGTTTCGATCCTTGCTCTCTTTTTTTTTTCTTTTCCTTTTGAGTTTTTTAGTATTGATTGGATTGTGATTCTGTTTCCAATGGTATTCGTACAGGCATGTGGTGCTCCCTCCTGAAGTCGCCAAACTTGTGCCCAAAAATCGGCTTCTCTCTGAAGTGAGTCGATTGGTGTTTGTTTTTTCTTTTTTCATTTTTCTAGTTTGAATTTTCTGGTTGATTAGTAAATTGTGAGTTTGTCTTTTTTTTCTGAATAATTAAATTTAATTTGTTGCTTCAGATTCTTTATTTGGGTTAATTCTTCAAATTTCAGATTTAATTCGATTAGTAATAAGCTGCTCTACTTTTTAGTTCCATGTAAATCTAGAAATGAAACTCAACATCATAATGAAAAAACAATCGTGTCTTGTTAAAAAAAATAATTAACAAAAATAACTGAAACAAAGATATGAATTGACATGGTAGAAGAGGAATATGATATGATTCAGGAGTCTTATAGCTAGGTTTTTCTTGTTTTAGTATTTTTGTAATTATCTTTTGCTAATTTTCTTATTAAGATGTAACGTTCTAGGATAGTAAGCAATATAGAAGATGTGTTTTTCTTTGTAAGTGGTGTTTTTGAGTATATCAGCTGTTCAGTTGCCATCTGAAATTCTAAAAGATATTGTTTTTGTGTTTTGATTTGTTTATATAGAATGAATGGCGTGCCATTGGTGTCCAACAGAGCCGTGGTTGGGTGCACTATGCAATTCATCGCCCTGAGCCACACATCATGCTCTTCAGGAGGCCACTCAACTATCAGCAGCAGCAGGAGAATCAAGCTCAGCAAAATATGCTTGCTAAGTGATTATTTTTACCCTCTTGAATATGTCAAATACAAAGAATAGTTTGGTTTATGCGCTGTGTAAACTCTATGGATATGGATAATTTGGGATTTTCTAGTGGTGTGTTGTAATTTTCTCCTCTGGAGAATTTCGTTTTTAGGGTTCTTATTTCTTCTTTATATTAACCATGTCTTTGATGATTTCTTGTGATTGGCAGATCTTGATTATCGCCTATGGTTTACTTTTAGCATGTCATTGGATGATGTTTGTGCCTAATGGTGGATTTTGATTGATAGTCTTGTTATTGCCTAATGGTGTGTGTGGTTCTGGTGGTTGTTGAAGATTATCACCGAACCTCTTCGCAACTTATTTTACATTGCTCCTCAAATCTTGTATATGATTGAACTGTTTGTGCCAGACAAATTCTGGACCAAGAGAACTAACTCAGTAAAGCATGCAGTGAAAATTTTCGTACTCGGTTTTTCCTGGCAGGGAAGCACCGTAGCAGGGGCTATTCAACTTGTGCTAATTTTGCCCGATGAATATGAAAAAGTGATTTATTTGAATGCATATTTTTCTTTTAGTAATAAGTCTTAACAGCATGAGGATATATTTTTGAAATTGTTTTTGAATGTTTTTGCGAAATTGTAGCAAATTGACAGTACTTAATAATATACTTTTCTCAATTAGTGAAATTGTCTGGAGAAATTTAAGTTGTTTCTAAAATATTCCTGGTGCCCTCTCTGTTAATGAGACCCGGCTACGTGATTCTTCTCCAAAAAAGGTCTACAATACTTGACGCATTCCATCTCAATCTGGTTACACAGGATTGAATGAACTTTTATAGCTTCAAATGACAGCCACGGTATGACTACATATGGTTATTGGTTTCATTTTGATTTTTTAATTTTGAAATATTAATTAATAATATATGATTATATATATATATATATGATATTTAATGATCATGTATGAAGATAAGATTATAATATTTATTAAATTATAAAAAATAAAATGAGATGCTCATTTTTGCTCGTCGTTTACTTTTCTTTGTCGCCATTCTTAATGATTGGTAATGGGAATGGCTAAAATCACAATCAGTCGCGTTATAGACCTTAAAAAATATATCGGAACATAATATTTGTTTTAAATAAAATATGAAACTCATTTTTTATTATTATTAGGTTTGTAAAACTAGCGTAGATTTTTTAATTAAAAATTGAATAAATATTTTTCTCAAAATTGCCAAATATTCAAATCCAAATAATAGACAACACACCCTCCGCAAATAAACTGGGCCTAACCATTGCTAAATGAACCCAACCAAGTTAGTATTTCAAATCCATAGTTTGGGCCCAACGCCTATGCAATCGTATATTCGCCTTCTTCTTCTCCTTCTCTTCTTCTCCTCCCTTCTTCATTCCCAGTGTCCTGTAAAGCTCACTATCTTCTGAAACGACAAATTTCTGTTTATGCCGCCATATTTGACGATTCTTGTCCACTTACAAGCTCTTTAACTCGCTGACTCAGAATTTGTTTTGGCACCGGATCGGTCAGGTAACTAAGATTCCTATTAGCCTTTTTCCCCTTCGTTATTATTTTTTTAGCCAATTGAAATTATGATTAACTTGGTTGCTAATTCTTAGCTGTTTTAGAGAAAATTTTTCCTTTGATGTAGTATTGATTGCATTATTACTATGACATATCAAGGTTATGCAATTTGTACAATTAGAAGCTCTTTTATGAAATTATTATTTCTAGTTAAATACCTAATTAGTTTTTTTCTTTATAGCTAAGCATTTTAATGGATCTGAGGCCTGAGGCCTAGAACTTTCCTTGAAGCTTCTGTTAGATTTTTACAATGGATTTGCCAAATTATTGAAAAAAGAAAGAAGCAATTTCAAAGTCAAAAACTGAATTTGGTATTGGAACTGTAAATTTATGGTGACATCAAGTTTAAGGTTTTAAGCCTGTAAGTCATGATGTTTATTCCTAGCATTAATGGTGAATTAGTTGTATTTTGCAACCTTCTATATGGCATTCTTAATAGCAATAATAATTTCTTTTTGTTCTTCTTTGTCTAGATTATCCCTTTACTGGTTTGACATTGATCTCAATGACCCATAAGCGCAATGTAATTGTTGCAGCTGGCTTACTAGCTTTTGCTGCTGCAGGATTGGCATTTCCCTTTTACATGGCGTAAGTAAATGTTGCATTCTCAATTTCTCATTGATATTGCGGAGAATTTACCCTTTTTTAAGAATAATATGAACTGTGTTATACAGATCATCTAGGAGTAGGCCAGTGATTGATTCATCAAAGCCACTTCCACCACAAGCAACTTTTCGAGGGCCTTACATAAACACCGGATCACGTGACATTGGACCTGACCATCACACTTACCCAAAGAAATGATCTAGTTTTCTATACCATTGTTGTTGGGTGGGGGGTCAGAAAAACTCCAATCTCTTTTTGTGAATTTATCGCGACGTTCTTTTATGGTCATGCTATTTCTTTTTCTATTTGTTTCCCTCCTTTTGTTCTTTTTTGGTATAATACATATGGGGAAAAACTCTGTGGAGTCTGTACTAGGAATTCTTCTTTGATTACATTTCGAGTGAATGAGCAATAGCTTGAGAACTACTCTGTGAAAGTGCATAAATCCTGGGGATGAAATTCTTTTTTTTTTGTGAGTGGTTAATTCTTAGAATATTGAACAAGATTGTCTTTTTAAATAGGTGATTGAAAGCATTAGGAAGAAAGGAAAGCAGCAGATTTATTGCCAAGATAAATTGTGGGCTGCAATGGATTTTGACTTCATTACTCTAAACCCTGTACTAAAGAGGGATCTACTGCTGCTGTTGGCTTTTTAAATAGAACCTTCTTATAGTACAAGCTTTCTAAGCTCTAGTACAAGCTTTCTGAGCTCGCTTGGCTATTCTGTAAAACAGACATTAGCATTCTGTCATTTATCTTGGTACAGTGAAAAATGGGAAGAGTGGTAGTATTTCAATCATCTAATTCTGCATCAGAGGCATGCTTCTTTTTCTTCTTTTGTTTTTTTTAAGTAAATGAGAGTAGTAAAACCAGAATTTCTGTAAGTAGTTAATTTTTTATAAGACAAGGACTAAGTAGTTAATTTTACTAAATTAGACGGATTCAATAGTAGTAATTTTTCTACAGAAACTGATTTCCTCATGTAAATCGAATCGAACCAATTACTTGAGCCAAGCCAATTGAGTTTGATTCAATTCAATTATTTTTTAGTTTTGGCTATTGATAAATATAATTTGGTAAGATTTTTAATTTTCTACTTTTCAAATTGCATGATGAAAATTGGATTAAATCAAAGAAATTTCAATTTCTTCGTGTGAAAATAAAAAATGAATTAAATACTTTAAAAATCAAATCTAACTAAAGTCGTCAACTTAATTCAAATTTTTTCAGTTTAATTTATTTTTCTTAACCTAGCATGGAAAAGGCATATTGCTAGTTCCATCCAATGGAGTGAAGAGAATAAAAAGGCAATAATATTCAATAAATTTAAAGTTAATTTAAACAATTTAATAAATTGGTAAAAGTTGTACTTAAACCGGAGAAGTTGAATTGCATATGTAAATAGAAAACTATTTTCTCAGTTTTTTAATAAAACAATTTTCTTAGAAAATGAAAACTAGAAAACAGAAAATAAAAAATACGTTCACTTGATAATAATAAAAAATTATATTTTAATTTAACTTTTTTCACTTGATAATAATAAAAAATTATAGTTAATTTAACCTTCAATAAATATATTCATAATTTTCAATGAATTAAAGGAAATAAATATTTAAATAAATTTTTTAGAAATTTTGTACGTACTATTGATTATTATTAATAAAAAAATATCATTTTTTATCATTGTAAATTTTTTTAAAATAAAGGATAAAATATATTTGGCATATAAAAATTAATATATATTAAAGCATAATATAAATTTTATTTTTACTTAAATATTTTTATTTTTCAAATGGAAAATATTTTATAGGAAAAAATTATTTAATAGATATTATATTCAAATGAAAATATTTTATAGAAAAAATTATTTATAGATATTATAATTTTAATAATGAAAATGTCATTTTAAAAAAATGAAAAATAGTTAAAAAACATGTATTTTGTTATAAAGGAAAACTTTAGAAAACAATTTAAAGTTATTTTTTAAATCTTAATTAAATTTTGGAAAACTGAAAAACTATTTTTTAATTTTTCAATTTTTAGTTTTTCAAATAGAAAACTGACCGATTTGAATACAAAACTCTATTTTTTAACTTTTTAAAAAATTTTTCTAAAAAACTATTTTAATTTTCTACGGCTCAACACACCTACTGCCCTAATTCTTCTTGGTAGAACAAAGAAATTTAAGTGCACTTTCGTAACCTATTTATTGTTCTGTTCAATTCCAAAATTGTGGCTGTAAAGCCATCCATCTGTATTTTGACTCATCTTGGTCGGCATCATCTACGGACAGAAATGTGACACGTCATGGAAAATGGCATGACTGAAATTGTAGCCAGTGAGAAGATTAATTTGGGGATTACATGCCGTCGACGTGTTAAAATTTATAAGGGGGTGGTCCGTCCATCACTAATCACGAGGTCGAACACACAAAAGAAAAATAAATTCCTCCTGCGAGTATCGGCTTGCTGCTTCCACATGACAAAGTTTGAATCTTTTGTTTTCATTTCATGTCTAGAAAGTGGTAAAGATATTTCCACACTCACAGTAGAAGCTTGCACGCAAACTCCTCTCTGCTTTCTCTCTCTACTGTTTTGTCTCTCTCTGAAAACATCCCCTGATAGAAACAAACCAGAAAAGTTGCTATAAGCTAAACCGAGAAAAGAAGAAAAATCATCATTGAACTACTAATATGGCTTTAATTGTCTCTGCTTCTTGCATACCCAAGTCTTTACTATCACCAACATCAACAAACCAAACCCATTCCAAAGACTCTAGCTTTTTGTTTAACAGAAATTTTATTAGTGAAAAACTGCCAAAAAGAACCCAAAACTTCTCTCGTCTACATGTGGCAGCACCACCATCACCATCACCATCTATACAGAAAGAAGAGGAAGGAGAAGAAGAGTATAGAGTTGATGATGAGAGTGGAGAGGAGAGTTCTGATTCGAAATTCTCCTGGCGGGACCATTGGTACCCGGTTTCTTTGGTTGAAGATTTGGACCCTAGGTTGCCAACCCCATTTAAGCTTCTAGGTCGAGACTTAGTTCTCTGGTTTGATAAGGCCAATCAAGAATGGGTTGCATTTGATGACAAGTGTCCCCATAGGCTTGCTCCTTTATCTGTAAGTTCGTAACTTTATGATTGTTCACAATTGAAGTGGTTTCTTTGGTTGATTTACGATGAGAGATGTGAATACTCTTTTTCTAGTTATCGATTGAAGAAATGAAGTGGAAGTTACAATTTTGGTTCATTTATGTTCTATATCATACTTTTGATTTACTACAATTAAAAAAGATATCTTATATTGAGGTACTTCATTCAATGATTTGAGTTTCCAAAGTTAATTACTATATTTTGATCAAAGCTAATGTTGGACGCAAATTTGTTTCATTGGGTGCTAGATGAAAAAAAAAAAAAAAAAAAAACTTGTGCTAGATGAAAAAAAAAAAAAAAAAAAAAAAAAACTTGGATTACTCTTTTTGGCTATATGAAAAAAAAAAAAAAAAAAAAAAAACTTGGATACTCTTTTTGGCTTATGATTTCTCAGGATTTCTTGCCAGCCAAAGATAGGAAGTAGTTTTATGGAGTTGATCTTGATCGATAGGTTCTTGCCTTTTGCTTTTTAGGAAGGCAGGATTGATGAAAATGGGCATTTGCAATGTTCATACCATGGATGGTCATTTGATGGATGCGGATCTTGCACAAGGATTCCTCAGGCCTCGCCTGAAGGTCCTGAAGCTCGTGCAGTCAAGTCCCCAAGGGCTTGTGCAACCAGATTTCCGACAATGGTGTCCCAAGGTCTTCTCTTTGTTTGGCCGGACGAAAATGGTTGGGAAAGAGCTCAGGCCACCAAGCCACCAATGTGATTAATCCTTTCTTATTTCTTTGTTCTGATTAAGTTTATATGATGATTGGATTATTGAATCTGATTATGTCATGCTTATATGAACACGCATATTTTTATTTTAATTGTTTAGGTTACCCGATGACTTCGATAGACCTGAGTTTTCAACAGTTACAATTCAGCGTGATTTGTTCTACGGCTATGATACACTCATGGAGAATGTCTCTGATCCTTCTCACATTGATTTTGCTCATCACAAGGTAAAAATGCTAGTCTAAGAATTGTAATTGTGAAGACTTGTCATTAAATACACAGAAAAATTTATAGCTTCCTTTGGTGTTTGAAGAACTTACTGCATAATTTAGTACCCATATTTAGTGTTAAGATAATCAACAGTTACAAATGTCACATATTGGAGTCAATTTTACAACATCCTGCTGTTGTTGACAATTATGCACACACTATAGAGATTGCAAGTTGCTAAAGGAAAAGTTGTCATACACCAACTTGTAAACTTCAAGGATCTCGATGGAGATCAACTCAGTGTTTTGAATTATCTGTTGAATATCATTGAGAAGTTGCAAATGTGAATGTTAGGGATCGACAAAAAGTAGATGACTCCGTATCTTTATTCTGCATATGCATTACCAATGATTGATCCATTTTTTTATCTTCTGTGCATAACAATCATAAGCATTTGGGAGGGTTTTAGAAGATGTTTAGAGGCAAGCTCTCTCATTCTCCTGTTGGCTAAAAAATTGTTTCTTCCTTAATATTATTTCCTGTTAAAAATTTAGCTGTAGATTATTTCGTTTTTTCACAAGGAACAAATTACTTGTGTGTTTATGCACTTCATGCTCTCAGTAATCTTGTCACACTTTCAAATGTGTCTTTTAGAGTGGCTTTATGCATATTTGTTGGTAATTCGTCTTTTGTACATTATCACCTACTTCTTCCTTTTTTCATTCTGGTAAATGTTGTTTAACATGGAAAATATCCTCGCTGTTGTTGAAGGCAGAAATTAAAACTTTGAAAAGTAAAGACATTAAATTATTCCTTATTATAAGAATTTAATGTATAGGTCACAGGAAGGAGAGATAGAGCGAAGCCTTTGCCATTTAAGTTGGAGGGTAGCGGCCCTTGGGGCTTTGCTGGGGCTAATGAGGGAAATCCACGGATCAGCGCAAAGTTTATTGCACCCTGTTACTACATCAACAAGTAAGTGTTGCCCTAATAAACTTTATTTTTTCACTCCTCTTTAATCTTTGATCTTGACAAATATTGCTTCTGTGATTCATCAGTTATTATTGGGGACCTGTTATTGGTTTGCTTTAACATATAAGCTTCAAGCGTCACTATCTCAAATGGTTGGTTAAACAAACTTTATCTTCATGAATGGTCCTTGTTTCAAGACTTGAGTTTTGGGTTCGTTGAATTCTCAATTACACAAATGGTTAAAAAGCTATACACAGATTTTTATTTTGAGGTTTGAGGTTGCTGTTTGGTTGTACAATGGAATCTTTTCTTTCTTCTTAATTTTTTTTTTTTTTTTTTTTTTTTTTTTTTTTTTTTTCTTAATTTTTTTTTTTTTTTTTTTTTTTTTTTTTTTTTTAGGTTTACAATGGGATTTGGGATTTTGTTTAGTCTTTTAGCTGCTTCATTTTTTTTTTTTTTTTTTTTTTTTTTTTTTTTTTTTAAGGTACAATGGGATTTTGGGATTTTGTTTAGTCTTTAGCTGCTCATTCAAGAGGATTAGGTTAGCTTGACACTTGTTGTAGTTCAAGGCCAGTAGACTACAATTTCTTGTTGTGTTTCCTTTAAATCTTCTAATTTGTTTTACACTTTGAAGCATTACTGATTCTGAAATTTCCATACTCGTTTTTTTCCAGAGTAGAGATAGATACAAAACTGCCTATAGTTGGCAACCAGAAATGGATAATATGGATCTGTTCCTTCAATGTCCCAATGGCACCTGGGATTACCCGCTCAATTGTTTGTAGTGCTCGTAACTTCTTCCAGTTCACAATGCCAGGTCCTGCCTGGTGGCAGGTGTGTTCATTTTAGCTGTGCTGCTTCATTTTCTCCCCTTCTTTTAATAAATCACATGAGTATTCCAATAGCTCTCACCATCTTTTATGGTATAACCTGTTGCTTGTTCTTTTGTCACTCAATGTTTATTGCTCCTTATAAAACTATTCTGTTATGTGGTTAACTCTATGGTTCTTCATTTTGAATAACATGACTTAAAATATCTGAGAAATCAATATGAAGGAACTTCACACCCATGTTTCGGGGTTTATATAACATCCAAAACATGGTTCTGATAATTATAATAAATTGATTATTAGTTCACAAATGAAAATGGTGTGAAAATCAAAGTAGGTCCCAAGTTCATCTGTTTTTTTTTGTCTTTTATGCTTACATTGAAATAATAAATTCACAGGATTTCTGCCCTATGTCATTTGTATCAAAACGTTCTATGCCGCTCGGCATTCCTCTTCATTTTTCTTGTTGGTTGGCATGGTAGCCAATATTTTTCTCATTTGAAGCAAATTGTGATTATGTGATGGGGATTATAGAGGAGAGAAGCCCATTGATAGTAAGGATGCTTTTTGGCTAGTCTTGTAGTGTTCTTATCTAGTGATACCATTTTATCTTCTGCCTGGAAGAGGAAATATGATGCCTTTGACTTGAGGGTTGAGAATGGAAAAATGACTTCATTAGACAGTTTATTTTGGGAACTGATATGTTTGGACATCTGGGGATTCTTCCTTCTGTAGTGATGAATTTGACTCCATTCATTCCTTATACTTTGAAGCTTCTGCCAAGCACATGGCGTTTATCAATTTGATTGTGATAAGCTATATAAAGACTGGCTAGTTCAAGTTGTGCAGCTTAAATTTGTGAAAGTACGATTTTATAACTGCAGACTAGCAAGGAAAGATTCTCTTTTGCTGCTTAAATTTAAAACTGCATCCTTAATATGTACCAAGTTAAATCACTGTCGATGACAAGAATTAGCTATGCAAAGCTTAGTTTCATCCATTTCTTTATAGCCTAGGGTGGAGTTTATTCCGAGATGTCTATGAGCATTGCTACTGTGAAAAATAAACTGTTATTTGGTTATGTTAGGTGGTTCCAAGATGGCACGAGCACTGGACCTCAAATAAGGTGTATGACGGAGACATGATTGTTCTTCAAGGTCAAGAGAAGATTTTCCTTTCCAAGTCAAAAGAAGGATCTGCTGATATAAATCAGCAATACACAAAACTCACATTTACACCCACTCAAGCAGATCGCTTTGTCTTAGCGTTTCGCAATTGGCTCAGGCGACATGGTAACAGCCAACCCGAGTGGTTTGGAAATACCAAGCAACCTTTGCCATCAACTGTCCTATCAAAACGTCAGGTACTAAAACCACTAAAACCATTCAACAGAAATACATACGAAGTTTGTTATGAACCATTCGCATATTTTGCTGATGAAATTTAGCATTTGAATCTCATTTGTATTTGCTTCTCTTCTCACAGATGTTGGATAGATTTGAACAGCATACACAGAAATGCTCATCATGTAAAAGTGCCTACTCTGCATTCCAGATATTGCAGAAAGTTCTAATTGGTGCAACTGTTGCTTTCTCCGCTACAGCTGGTATTCCTTCAGATTTGCAATTTAGGGTTTTATTGGCTGGACTTGCAATTGTAAGTGCTGGCTTGGCCTACATTTTGAACCAACTTGAAAAAAACTTCGTATATATTGATTATGTACATGCTGAAATTGATTAAGAGAAGGAAAGATAGAAACTTTGTATATTGTTAAACTTACAAATTAGAGGATTCATAACAGTTTTTGCAATTTACAAACAAAATTATAGGTCTATAAACTTGTAAAAGTTTCTAATCAGTTCCAATGAAAATTATTTCAGTTATAAATCTTGAGAGAATTTCATACCAATTTTCCAAGATTTGCTTACAATAATTTCTATTGTATGAAACCTTATACAATCTGCCTGAAGTTCCACCATTAGAGTTGAATTCTATAAAATTGTGAAATTGGGATTAATAATCCTAACTACGACTGAATTCCAAATCAAAAACATTTCAAATTTAATGACTGAAAATCACCAAGAAAAAAGTTATAGAAAAGAAAAAACGTAATAAAATATATTAGATTAACTTGCTAATGATTCAAAGAGCTACATTACATTATTAGTTACAGGAACCAACAAACAAAAACCAAAAAGAACCTAAACAACCCTAACCAACATAAAAATCCAGTCTTTATATATAAAAAGACCAAACTTTCAACCCCAAAATCCCAAAACAAAACCTAAGAGCTAGTGAACTTAGTGACTGCCTTAGTACCTTCTGAAACAGCATGCTTAGCCAACTCACCAGGCAAAACAAGCCTGACCGCCGTTTGAATTTCCCTAGAAGTAATAGTAGGTTTCTTGTTATACCTAGCAAGCCGCGCTGATTCTTGAGCAAGCTTTTCAAATATATCATTGATAAAGCTATTCATGATCCCCATAGCCTTGCTTGAGATCCCAATATCAGGATGCACTTGCTTCAACACCTTGAAGATGTAGATCTTGTAAGTCTCTACGCTCTTCTTTGATCGTTTCTTCTTCTTATCGGCAGCGCCACCTTCTTTTGGCAGCTTCTTCTCGGCTCTTGGCTTTTTCTCAGCCGGTGCTTTCTCCGCCTTCTTTTCTTCTGCTGGCTTCTTCTCTGCCGGTTTCTTCTCTGCTTTAGGTGCCATCGGAATCGTTAAGAGATTTGAAGATTTTAGGAATTTTGATTCTTCTACAACGAGTGAATTGAAAATGAAGGAAGGTATAGTATATTTATAGGGGGTGAAGGGTAAGACTTGATTGGTTGGATGGAATTGGCGCGGATTGATGACATGGAAAAAATATGGACCGTGGGATATTTGGGGTTTAGATTGACGCCGAGGATCTTCTTTTAATGGCTAGTGGGCTTTGAAACACGGATCCGGATGAGGTACGGATACCTGACGTGGACGGCGAATTTGAAGAGAGGAGGAATTGACGGTTAGGATTGATTTTAGAAGAGTTCTACAAAAATCTGCATTGCGCCGGTTTGAAGTTTAAGTAAGTCTAACTAAAATTTTGAGTTTCGCGGTTATGCTGTTTAACGCGGGTCAAGCCTTTAATGAGGTTGTTACTGGCCGTCACTATGGAGAAGTAAACGTCCATTAATATTTGTCCACGTGTCTATTCTGTGCCCTTTATTCGCTTTGAAAATGCAGTCGTTCGATGACGGTAGGCGTGTGTGTCGATTTTACCTGGAGAGCCATTGATCAAAGCGAAACGACATGTAGGTCAATACTTATTTGTACTTCGATTTACTTTTCCAGGTCCTTTGAAGACGAAAGGCCTGCTCCTTTACTGTGAAGGCCCGTTTGATTCAACAGTTCATACTATCCGATACTGATTATTAATAGTTGGTGAAATGGTGATTGATGGCTAATAATGATTAATTGTTTATTGCTCATGTTTAATAAATTTTGATAGTGGTCATTGTTAAAATATAAAATAATCATTATAAATATAACTATTTTTCTATTAGATATATATAAAATTTTGAGGTGAATATATTATTTTTTATTTCATTTTATATAAATAAAAATATTAATGCAATTTTGCATACTAAGGCATAGCATAATGGATAGTGCATATATGACTAACATTAGATCTGAGTTCAAATCCCCTTTCCCCCCAAAACTCAAAAAAAAAAAAAAACTAAGGCATAGCATAATGGCATAGTGCATATATGACTAACATTAGATCTGAGTTCAAATCCGCCTTTCCCCCAAAAACTCAAAAAAAAAAAACTCAAAAAAAAAAAAAATATAAATGTAATATTAAAATGATATTTAAGAAAAAAAAATTTTTTAAATAATTATAAATAAAATGACCATAAAAATAATAGTTTGAAAAAAAATAATTTATTAGAAGTTAATAAACTCTAAAATAATATAAATACAAATTAGCTAACAAATTAGCTATACACGAAACGTACAAAACAACTATCAGCCTTCTAAAAGGACCGTTAAGTATGAACATAATTTACAAAATAACAACCTATTCAAAATAAAATGCTAACAATCTCATAATTATCATGAAATTCTCAATATTTAATATTTAAATTTTCTTTTGTTCCATAAAGTATTTGAATTATATTGAAAATGTAGACTATTCTAAAACAAATATGACATATGATTGAAAATCTTGGTAACTCCTTGAACATTGTTAAAGCCTAGAATAATTATGCTTTCATAAGTTACAATAAAATATAATCAAAAGTATGTCTAATATAAAGTTACACTAAAAATGCTTTTTATTACATTATATCAAATTGTATTATAACTTACGTCAATTCATTATAGTCAATCCAATCCGAATGATTTGACTCAACTTAACGGATTTTAAAATATAATAGGTTGAATTAGGTCAATTGTATTTATAGATAAAGTCGGAATAAGTTACGGATTCATTAAATAAACAATATAAATCCGGTCCAATCTATAAAAATTATAATAAGTACATATAAATATTTATATAATAAATCTTACATGACTATAAATTTTGTAAATTAATTTAGCTCAATTTTTATTTTTTATGTTGCTTAACCATAAATACTTAATTGCCCTTGTAAGTAATTAGTCCATTCAATTATAGCCCAATGTCATATTATTGGACAAAATAATTTTACCCCCAAGTTTTAATGATAATAAATAATTAGTATATAAGGGACAACACCTACTGCTTATCTGTTGACTCTTATTCAACACAAGAAAGAAAAAAAAAAATCAAATATTCTTAATCTTACGTTGTTGTTTTTAGGTTTTGTTACATTATTTATTTATCTTATGATTCCGAATAGCATTTATCTAAAAAAAAAAAAAAAAAAAAAAAAAAAAAAAGAACGCATTTAAGGTATCCTAATTAAAGCACCATTTTGATGTCAAGCGCCCACACACTCTAAGGATTCCAGTTGTATTTTTTAATTGCTTGTTTTGTAATATCCGCAAATTGAAAATTAATATTGTAATTTGTCGCAAACTTATAATATACCCGCGGACTGGTAATGCTTACGTTAGAGTAATACGAGAGTCACACTCTTTTCTGGTTTAAGTTAGTTCACTCCCCAGTTAAATAAAAAAAAAAAAAAAAAAAAAGATTTCAAGTATCTAATTAAAGCACCATTTTATCAACAAATTAATGATATTGGTATTTTTTTAAATTGCTTGTTTTGTAATATCGCAATTGAAAAATTAATATTGTAATTTGTGAAACTTATAATATAATTAATTTACTTAAGTATAAGTAATTTTGTTAGTTAGTTATCTTAAATAATTGTATTTTGTTTAAAATTTTTTACTAAAAGGCTCACGTCCAACATGTATTCAACTCAACTCAACTTATTTACAACTTGTGAATTCACGTATTTGAAGAATTAAATATGGTAAAAAAAAATTGTTAACCCTAAGCATCATAGTATTTATAAGTATAATTTATTTTTTTTCTTTCAAAAAATAAAGTATAATTTATTTTTGTAATTAGATAATTCCAACTTTACAAAAATCAGGGTCCACTCAGATCCAAATATAAAATAAGAATTATATTTTTTTCTCTAAAAAATTAATAAATTGATTAAATTTCTAAATTAAATAATAAAAATTACAAAAAATCAAACAAACTTATAAAATCTTTGTCTTGCGAGATAACATTGCCAAAATGTTTAATGAGCCTTTCATTGTTGAAGTGTGTGGGTAATTAATTCTACATTGGATAAATACATATTGATAAAATGGTATATAATGAAGAGGGTAAACTTACCAAAACGACTTAGGTCATTTTGTTTTAAAGGTAAGTTAACTCTTTATAAGTCCAAATATTAAATGAATTACTAATTAAATTTGATTTGATTAATTTGCTCTAGGGCCTAGATTCTTTACAAGGCATTAGAGCTTGGGCCCTGTAACCTACATGAGGGAAGTTTCCGTGTGGATCATACTCTGATGGGTCTATGCTAGCTTATCGAATGCTTGTCAAGTGGCTTAATTGCCACTGATGGATGCAAATTTGGTCATCGCATGCTTATTAAATAGTCTAATTGTCACTTGAGAGGAGGGTGTTAAAGCGCGAGGGTAATCCCACATTAGATTAATGCATAAACCAACTAAAAAGCTTATTTCATTATATGTTAAAAAGATAAATCCAACTCATTATAAACTTAAATATTAAATAAATTATTAATTCGATTTGATTAATTTGCTCTTAAACCTAAATTCTTAACATTCATAAAAAGAATTAACTTCTTTAGTTAATCGGGATGGACTTTTTTGAATTTCACTGGTAATTTGATGGAGTTTAATTTTTGTGCAATTTCTGACGGAAGCTTAGTTGTTCTTAATCATCCTCCTTAATTATATGTACAAATACACTAATGTATGTTTCATGAAACACTTCCTCTAAATACTATTATAAATATTACACTCCCAAACATTATAATTAACAAAATAGTGTTTTAACCTTGGTAAAAATACTAAACTTTAACCTAAAATTAGATCTAAGTTATTGTCGCCCAAATATTGGCATTGATTGTTGCCTATATCTTGATATTTTGTTCTTAGATCTAGTTCTGAATTGTTGTTATCACCATTATGGTGATTTTATCGAATATATTTTATTATTTGAATAATTATGCAGAAAAAAATATAGATCTTCTCTCTAATAGTAGGAAGAAATTTGAAGGTAATCAGATCGGACCTGTAGAAAGACTATGGAGTCGAACAGTGACCATAAATAGCCACCAAACGGAGCAAGCGATCGCCTATGACACAAATATTATGCTCTGTTAACTCGATCAGATACTTTAAATCAAGATTATGTTTTTTTATTCTTTATATAAATAGTTTGCTGCCGCAGGCCGGGGCCCCACCGTGGAACCCTGCCTACGAAACCGGCCACTATGGACGTTCGACCACAAGCTCGAGAAAAAAATAAGCACCAAACCACGACGCCAACGCGATCCTGCCGTATGGCAAGGGCGAAACAACCACATATTTAGCTCCGCCGCCCTCAGTTATAAACTCGATCAAGCTTTATAACGGGTCTAGAATCACAGATTAATGTTTTTTTTTATTTCTTTATATAAAACCTATGTTTAATTATTTAATTATTGAGACTTTATATATAAAATATAAAAATATACTGCCCTTGGCCACGTTTCCCGTATCTGTAATGCAGTTTTCCACATAATGAGAATTTCTAATGTAGAAACTGTGTGTGGGCAACCCTCCGTTTGTCTAGAAAATATAAAAAAAACAAAAAAAACCTCACCGGCCGCAACCCGACTTGGATGGAACCCGGAATCTTGCTGGTAAGCTACTATGAAACTTAACCTTGCTCCTACAAGCAGCGCCCAGGAGAGAATGTTCTCGGGAGGAGCAACCTGCAACACCTGCCCCCGCCCAGCGTGGGCGGGAGCCCTGCCAACAACCAGCCTCTTTTACAATAAAAACTCTAGCGAGAATGAATATCTTATACGTATATAAACTTTTTTTTTTTTTGAAAGGAAAATATTTCTAAACTTGGTTGAAGTATTTATCCTAATTTCCATATCTCAAAAAGCACCGCTATGTGTGAATCCACACAGGTTCCAAGAGATCATGAGAAAAACAACTAGCGAGCATCCTACGCAACTGAAGCTACTTACCCCCGATGGCGGTTCACCATGTCAAGATCCGATGAGTTAGAAAGTAAAACTGTTGTACCTCACCTGGCAACGCTAGTGTAAACCTCTGCAACAAGCGTAATTTACACCTACCCTGCCCGATCAAAATGTGGGGGCCCTATAAATAAGGCGCCAATATGGTTCGTCAAATAGCCTATCTTTTTTCTTCCTGGGTGGGTGCACCCTGCACCAGAAAATTTGAGGGATCAATTGACTTAGACATAAGACCACGAAAAACCCACAATAATATCAACTCTATAACAAAAAAAAGAGAGAATATAAACGAATTAAACCGCTAATTCACTTTTAATGCGTCCCCTTTTCTCTTTTATATTACTCATGTGTGTGTATAAGCTTGTTTTTTCTTGATAGAGTCCATGTCCATTTTGAGATCAAGTTTTTGAAGAATCTTTGTTGTAATCACTACAATAGCTATAAGAAGATTATGCGTCTTATGATCTTTAAGTTGCTTTGCGAGCATTCCAATAATATTTATTATTTGGGAATATACTCGACATTTTATATAGAGATTTAGACCAAATTTAAGAAATAAAGTTATTAATAATTAGAGTAACCCAATCGTACAGCTAGCAGCAGCATCCTTTTTTTAATCCTGTGAAGGTTTTTAGGGAAGAATATCAAGCGGCGTGCTCCCCCCGACTCCACAGTTCGAATGCCTCGGAATTTCAAGATTATAAATCATCATGAGTTCCGAAAATGTATAATCATATTGCAGAAATGCGTTGCTTACATCGCTAATTTTATATGTTATTTTTTTAATAACCATAAAAATTTTTCATTTATAATTATGCAAATATTTCATCTTAACTACCAGCACTGTATTATAGAAAATACACTTAGCATCCAAAATTTGTCAAAATAAACCTAATATTAAAATGCCACTCTGCTCACATCAGTTGTAAATTATATTTTTTTTGGTGCTTAATATAAAACTCTTTGTCCTTTTGTCAAAATTAAATCATTTTTATAAAAAACTATGGGATTTGATAGAGTAAACTTCCCTCAAGCATTTTTGTTTTACGCAGCAGTCCCAGATCATTTTATTATTTTTCTACTTATTTTACATTATAAATTTCTGTTTTATCTTGCGTTATGTAATATTTTATAAATGTCACTTCTCTAAAAAACCCCGACAATAATTCTTTGGTGTCTAAACCCAGAATGTCTCTTTGGGTTTTTATATAATTTTGTTATTATTTCAGAACCTTATCCTGGTTCTTCAAAATTTTCGCCTATTTTCAATCAGTATAACAAAATACACAGATATAGTGGAAGCTAAAATGATTACTAATATTTAAGAAATTAAATACCATTGCGCGCCTAGATAAACTGCACCCTTTTATCATATTCCATATGCATTTCGCGACAAAGTTTTTTTTTGGCAAACTAAAGACTATAATTTCGCCCCCAGTTTTATCAGTCATTTAATTTAAATTCATAATTTCCACATAAGATAATTTTTTTGGCAACTGACATAAAGTGTTCTGTCAAGATTTTTTTGTGGTTTTCAACGCCTAACAATTAAAAAAATCAGCATAATAATTGAACCAATTGGTTTTTGCGTTCAAATATAAAAACTTATTCCACTTTATATACTCATTTTTTTCTTGGTCTCTCTTCTTTTAAACATAATAATAAAATCAAAACAAAATTGGATTTATATCTCGGTCCTAAGGCCAATCGAATACGGCCTTTAAAATCAATCATTTTTGTTCTGATCATTCTTGTGCAGTACAATCCGAATCCGCCCGAATGGTAATAAATACTATATAATATCGACCCAAATACTTACATAGAAATCAAAAATATCACATATTGTATTTTTTTTTTTGGCATATAACACACGACAAATCCACATAGTCCTGATTCCTATAGATCCCACTCCCTAGTTTGCTTAAAATCCTTTTTTGCCCTTTATTCCCCGGCCCCTAAAACATAAAGGAGCGACCTTGTCAAATAATAAAATACACATCTAAAAAAATCTACCCAATATTTTACTTATTATTGGCTGGATAATCACTAAATGTACTACTATCCTGAATTATACGTCTCTGACCTCCTAAACAATACTCTCAGCCCTCATCCGCCATTAATATATTTTTTTTTTATGAAAACAAAAAACAAGAACAAAAAATTTATGCTTTTAAAATCAAAGAAAAAAAAGAAAAATTATCAATCTACATGAAAAAAAAAAAAAAAAAAAAAAGGTTAGATAAACCTATATATATTTAATACTATGTGTGTGTATATTTTCTTGAGAGCCATTTTGTCAGTGAGACTTGAATCCACAAATTGAAGAGCTAACCCACTCCAAATATATAGTTGCTTCTAGGGATGATGGAATGACTCCACCTGTTGGATATCCGGTCCGATCCAAGTTGAATGCTTCAGATTTTATCCGATTCATTTGGTGGTGAATCGGATATGGATTTTTAAAATAAATTTCATATATATATAAATCAGATATGAAAATAGCATAATTAATCTAATAAAATCCGATTCATGAAAATAATTTTTCTTTTTTCTTATATTTTTAAAATTGTTGATGGTAATTCTAGATGTGCAGTATCATTTATTATTCTCTTCTTTTTTTTTATCTTTAAATTATTATCTCAAACTCTTTTACCATTTTTGTTTATATTGTTTTCGATCTCTATTTCAAATAAAAGAATATGAGTTGAATATTAAGCCCACCAGTATGATTTCTTTTGCATTTGACAATTTTTAAAGTCTTTCTAGTTGTCATAATATACAATATTTTTGACTAGTGTTAAGATTTTTTGTGTTTTCAAGCACAATAAATAATATGAATCTTATTAAATTATTATTTTCTTTTTCTTTTTCTTTTAAACATAATAAAAATTGGATAATATCCGGTCCAACTCGATCTGTTCTGACATCTGATCCGAATCCGAATGGACATAAATATATGAAAATCTTCATGAATCAAATATGTATTTTGCATAATCCGATCCAAGTCTGATCCATAATCATCCCTAGTTGCTTCTTGCCCTACAACATAAGCGATGCATATAATTCTAAAACCCCAATTACTATATCTTCATATGTACTCTCTGAATTATAGTTTATCTAACATCTCCAGCCCTCCCCTTTTTTGAAAAAAAGAACAAAAAAAAGAAAAAAAAGAAAAATTATCAATCTACATGCCAGATTGAATCGTGGAGTTGATTGTATATTTTGTTAGTTTTTCAACCACTTTGTCTCATATCTATGTGTAATCTTCCTTTAGACAATATTTATATTATTTTTGTCTCTCCTATTTATAAATTCTGGCTTCGCTCCTATCCTCAGCACATAAAATAAAAAAAACTAATTAATTTGAAGCATATGACAAAGAACAAATGGTCTCTTAATCAATTGAGAAGTAATGTGTTTGATGAACATATATAAGAGCTTGTCTAATTAACTAAGCATACATAAAATTGAAAAGGACATATTTTTATAGTAAAATAAATATTTCATATTAGTTTCATCACATTTTACATGACTAATGTGGCAGATGGTAAATAGATTACATAAAAAAACTCTGAGGAAATGATAATCATGCTTATGATGATAATTAAATAAGTAACTAAATACATATTGCTATATACAAGATATTTATTAATTTACCTGATCTAGTTGCATTTGAATTCCATTTCTGTTGTAGCTGGCTTTGTAGAAGAAGAAGTAGCAGTAGTTGCTGGAGAGTGTCCAATAAACAAAGCAACATGACCCATTAATTTGTCTTTCCTAGAAAATGTTGTGCCACAAGAGCATTGCCATTTAACATCTCCACAATGCTTCTCATGAGTTCTCAAATCAGACAACACTGAGAATTGCTTCCTATTACACCTCTTACAGACATACATTTTAGGGCAATGACTTCTCTTGTAATGATTCTTCACACAGATCATAGACTTCAATGGCTGAAACTTCACATGTTTTTTATTCCACCTGCACCCTTCTTGCGGACACGAATATTTTCTTGGCAACTTCAAACGTGACTCCTTATCATTATTATCAATATCATCTCCTTCACTTCTACTATTCTTCATTGGATTGCTTAAAGCTGCGTGAGTCTTATATTCATCTCCATGAGCTCTCATATGCATCCTTAAATTCGCATCGCGCTTAAACCCCTTACCACAAACTTGACAGTAATGAGAGTACTTAGCCAATAAATCTGCTGCATCTAACTCAATTATGTCGTAATTCTTCATTACGGATGATAATTTCTCTTCTATATTATTTTCTACATTTTCTCTTTTATTTTCCATCTTATTATTATTATTACTAATAACAACCATACCTCGATTACTATTATAACTATTGTAGTTTTCACCATACCAATCAAAGGTTTCGCTAGAGAAGTAGCTTTTCCCTCTATCACTGCCACCAAAATTTGATTGCAGCAACTCGTTTTCTTGAACCCTATTAGCATTAGCTACAGCCGGTCGGTGCAGTTGATTGGTGCTAGGATTACTAGTACCCATTTGTTGGCAGGTGAAAACCATTGAAGATGCAGTAACAATGATTTCTTGAATCATGGTGCTCATTCTTGTTATTGCTAGAGACGTTGATTCAGGCTGTTGAGCAGTTTGATCCGGCGAGATGATGATACTAACCAACGATTGAACTTGGTTAACCTTTTCTTTGAGGAGGGAGAGACTATAAAGTAGAGAATTTGAATGAGAACTAATTTCCATGGTTGAACTTGCTTCAACAATAGAGCTCGAAACAAAAGTATCATCAGAATATATATCTAAACCTTGTGATAAATTAGGGTAACAAGGATTATTATTATCACTTGTCTGCCCTAAAATCATTTTTATCAAAAAAAGATGAACACCCTTTTTGTGTATAAGTTTTGCCTGGATAGGTTTTGGGTGTTCTCTGTTAAAAAGCTTGTCATCATACAAGACTAAGCTATATATATATGTGCAATGAAAGTATAGTTATCTAACTTGCAACAAAGACAAATTAAAAGAAAGTGATGACAGAGAGATATGGAAGTCAACTTAGAGGCAGCGATTGAGTTCATCCCCAAGTAAAACCTCCCTCGTATGTTACCAATCCAACATAGAGACAACTCTATCAAGAGATTAAGACAAGTTGGCAAGAATATGTATTTTATAACATTAATAAGCAAAAATCATTTACTTGTGTATTAATTAAATATTGTCTGCTCTTATAGATAGTCTGACAATTACATTTTTATGCTTTAGATTACGTTGTGCCATTCATTATATTATTCTCCTTTGAAGATAAAGGAAAAATAAAATAATAATTCTGAAAATAAGATCATTTTCCCACGTCAATCTCCACGCAGTAGTTGACATTTTCAAATGGAGCGATGCTTCCAGTGATAATTAACTACAAAGAAAATATTTGTCTAGACTCGGTTTATAGCTCTATTTATAGACTAAGCCAATAAAAATAACAATTAACGATAAGTCTATTCTTAACGAGACTCATTTTATCATTTTGCCCGTTTTTTCACAGCCAAATTAAGTATGCTTGATTGGTTTTTCTTTTTATCATATCAGAAGATAAATTTAGAGTGCAAGTTGAAGGATTTTGAATTATTAAATTTTTTTAGGATTTTCAATGAGCTTGGAAAAAAAAAGAATAAAAGACATCTTTGACTGAAAATCTGGTTTTAATTATTTTCACTTCAAAATATATGGAATAAGAGTTATCACTAAATTAAATCTAACCCAACAATTAAAATCTTTTCTAATTTTCTTGTTTAATACTATGGTTTCTGTTTTTCAATTCATCTGAACACATGTACATGGCATATATGAGTCACTAATTCAACTGTAAGAAATTGCTAACTCTAATATATGGTTTTATGTTCAAATAGTGGTAAAAAGTTTATAATGGGCCAAAAATAGAAATTTTTCTATATTACATATAAATGTGAGAATACGGTAAATAATGAGATTTCGAATAATGCTTCTAAAAAAATTTAAACATCAACTACCAATTAGAAAATTATAATTTATTAGTTGATTGGATATAATTTATTAAAATTATTTCTAAAACAAATAGATATAGATAATTAAGCATTTCAAAATTTTAAGTTTTATTTTTTTTCTAAATTTATTTTTTAATAATATACATATATGATAATGAGACATTTAAAAATTTTTAATATTTTATTTTTTAAATATTTGATTCTGTTTTATTATAATCTAAAATATTTTATTTAGGAGAGAGATAAAAAATATTTATCTTTTTATAATTTTTTTTCCTTTATATTTGTATAAATTGATCGGATATATTTTTTAAAAAATAAATTTCAAATAGAAATTTTTTAATTTTTAAAATTTATTTTTAAATAAAATGAACATGTGTGTAAGATGACCAACAGTTGAAAATTTTAATTTTAAAAATAATAAGAGAAATGCGATGCTTTTATTCATTGATATATTAACTACAAACGAAAATTTTTGTCTAGCTCGGTTTATAGCTCTATTTATAACTAAGCCCCAATAAACAGAGGTAACAAATAATAACCGATAAAGGGAAAAAAACCTTTCTAAAAAATTGAAACTTTCCTTAACCCAAAGTACTCTTTTCATTTTTTATCAATATAATTAAGGCCCGTTATAACTTTTTCACAGCCAAACTAGCTATTGCACTGTAATGGTTTGTTCTCTTATGTAATTTATTCAAAATATCAGAAGATAAAAATTATAGAGTGGCGCCAAGTTGAAGGATTTTGAATTTTATTAATTATTATTATTTAAGGATTTTCAAATTGAGTCTTGGAAAAAAAAAGAAATAAGACATCTCTTTGAACCTCGAAAAAATAGCCTGGATTTTAATTATTTTTAACAAGCATTCAACACATATATGGAAATAAGAGTTATACACAATAAATTAATCTAACAAACATCCCAACAATTAAAATTTCTTTTTCTATATTTTTCTTGTTTTAACGATACTATGGTTTCTGTTTTTTCAACTTCCATCTGAACACAATGTAACATGGCAATATGATCAACTAATTCAACCTGTAAGAAATGCTAACTCTAATTATACTGGTTTCTTATTGTGAGGGTACACATGGAATCCATAGTCCGGTAAGAGAGAAACTTGTATTATGGTTTATTAATCAAGAGTGGGCTGGAAAAAAATGAAACTAACCATGAAATTAAAAATGCTTTCCCAATATTATTATGAGGCGCAAAAGGTTATTATATTGGGTATTATACTATATTGACTCATCAAATATATAGGAAATGTGAGGAATACGGGTAAATAATCCAAGGATGGAGTTAAATCCGAATAAATGCTTGTTTTCTTTAAAGTGATCAAAAACTTGCCCGCTCGGGGTTTTAAAAAATCCTCTTTTAAAAATTCACAAAGCTATCCGCCCCCCCTAAGTATTCCACATTAGAAAATTATTAATTTATTAGTTTGATTGGACAGCTATAATTATTAACCACGTATTTTGAATATTAAATAAATGGAAAGAATTTCAAGTCCAAACGTAGTTAATATGATTTATCGAGATAGATAGGATTCAAGCACCCTCCTCTTCTAAAATTCTTATAGTTGAATGGAGGTTCCTTTTCTTTTTTGGACTATAAAATTGGGTTATGGGCATTAATAATATTTGCATGGTTGTTTTATGATGTAATATGGAGCGTATTGCTATTTCATTTATTGAGTGCATTTGATAATTGATTAGTTAGACATTTAAAAGATCTTATTAATATTGTGCCAAATAGGTATTGGTGATATTAATTAATATTTATTTTTATGAGTTCGTGTTCGTTATTTATTATACACTCCAAAAGAATTTACATATTTGAGAGACTATTATTTTTTTAGCTTCTCAAAAAGTAAGTTTGAGGAAGAGATGATTAATTGAGAGAGACATTATTTTAAATCTTCTTTTATAGCACACAAATTTTTTTTTCGCGCGCTTTATTTCCAGGTTTGTATAAAATTGGCATTCAGGATTGGCCCGAAAATGAAATTATTTATTATTGTTCCCGAGCGATTTTTTAAAAAATTAATATGGTTCTCCCAACACTCAGCACACTCTGTCAAAATTTTTTAATTTTTAAAATATCCTATTTTGTAATATTAAAATGAGACATATTTTAGTATAGTGAGGCTTATCACGACCTGGTACTAAGCCCAAAACCTGGGGTTTTGATATATATAATAGGTTGTAATGTTAAAACCAATTATATTATATTAATATCCCGTCCAAAAGGTTGGGTTAATTATTGAAATTTTTTTATTTGTGTATTTAATATAAGGGCCACTTTTTTATAGAAGTACCCGAATTTGGAATTGATGTATTAATGTAGAACTTATTATCCGACAGACCCCCTCGAGTAAAAACAAGTGGAGGTTATTGAATTTAAAAGCAAATATCCCGTGAATTTTTAGATAAAATGAATTGACATAAAATTTGAATTTGGAAGTGTTATGTATAATATACACGTTTGTTTTATTATAATTAGCCGTTATATGTTATATTAATTAATCCCTCATATGATTTGTTTTTAACACTAATAAAATTAAATAATTATAAACAAAAATTATTACCTTCAATATTTAATATTAAAAGAGATAATATAAAAAATCTTAGGAATGATAGAATTATACATATACAATTATAATGAATTTTAGATAAATGATGACATAAATTGAATTGAAGTGTATGTATATATACACTGTTGTTTTATTAATTAGCCGTTATATCTATATTATTAATCTCATATGAATTTTGTTTTAACACTATAAAAATCTAAATATTATAAGACAAAAATTATAACCAATATTTAATATTAAAAAAATAAAAACGAATATAAATAATAAGTAAAAGCGAGCTATGACATAAAAAATTGAATAAATACGATTAACGAGTATAGTCAATGTACAACGCACGTCATAAAAGACTAATAACTTTAAAATAAGAAAAAATATAGCTATACTTTTAACTTTTAATCTTTTATGCGACAATCATTAAATCTTTCAGCTTGTAAAATTTTTATTTATCAAACACTTTAATTTTGATAATTGCATCTATTAAATATTTAAACTTATAAAATTTATTTTTTGGATGCTTATAAAATAGCTAATAGTACGATTTTAAAATGTTAATTTATTCAGTAAATGTAATTCTATAAATTGAAATACTTACTCGGTTAATATTGGAGGTGCCATTAAATTCTTTTCATATAAAATTTAAATACTAAGGCTACGTTTGTTTCCCTAAAATAAGTTGCAGGAAAATAACTTACTGAAAAATATTTTCATAGAAAACATTTTCTTTGAAAAATATTTTTCAAATGATTTATTTTCCGTTATTTTGTTGTAATATTGAAAATTAGTTAAAAATATTAACGTCTTTATCTCATAAGACCATAAAAAATATTAATAATAATAGAAATTTTATAATTTTATTGCTAAATATGAAAAGAATGCAAAAAAATATATAAGACCATAAAAAATATTAATAATAATAGAAATTTTATAATTTTATTGCTAAATATGAAAAGAATGCAAAAAAATATATATAAAAATTATGAAAGCCGCCGGTGGTGGTAGCCGATGGTGGTGGTCGGTGGTAAATGGTGGCTGGTGGTAATAACTATGATGAGTAATACATTAAAAAATATGGATTTATAAGGTTCATCAATGTTTGAAAAATGTTTTACTCTCTCGAGAATGAGAAGTTATTTTTCTTAAAAAGTGACTTAATTTTCTTTTAATCAGGAAAATATTTTCTGTTGACTTATTTTCCTGAACGCTCCAAACAACGAAAAATTGCGAAAAATATTTTATTGCAAGTTATTTTATGGAAACAAACGGATCTTAATAATAATAATAATAATAATATATACTAGTATTTTTTTTTGTGCTAGACTATAAGTGTTCACAGCCTATTGGATTCAGTTTAATCCTACTTGTACCGTGTTAGGCCTTTGAGAGAGATGTGCATGTACTCTCAAGAATAATTTTTTTCAATTACAAAACTCCAATACTTGTCCAAGGGACAGTGTATTAATTATACTTATACTCGAGGACTATTTACTTGAGATGGTGTTATTTTTACTTCATGCAAAGCCCAAAAGCATTTGATGATTTAATATGAAAAATATTATAAAAAGTTCATTTATAACTTCAATGTATTCAATGTACCAAAGAGCAGGGATGAAGCTAGGAATATTTATAAAGGATGGGAGTATACTCCAATAAAAATTTTGTAAAAATAATTTTTACAAGAGAGGGGCAATTGACCCTCTCCTCCATCATGTAGCTTCGCTACCGAAGAGTGACTTTACTCTGTGATTTTCTTTGTTATATATTTGTTCAATTCCTTAATTTGGAACAAATAATAGTTGGATGTGTAAATTAGAAAGTTCAAATAATATATGACAAACCCTTTATTATAATTTTTTTTTTCGGTGATGTTATTTCAAGAGTATAAATTGTTATTAGCTGAACAAAATTTTGTGTAAACTATCGGACCCCAAGTACCAATTCAGTTCAAGGCTTAACCATAATTAAGGTTTCTCGCTCCTTTTTGCAGGTGTATTTAGCGGGAATCAAATCCGAAATCTCTTTTTACATACTCAGTCTGTGTTACTAACTGAGTGACAACCCGTAAATAGTTGAGCAAAATCTATTAATAGATAAAATTACACTTTATATTCCTTTTACTTATCTCATTCTTACATCACTCTAACGAATTCTCACGTGAATGTAAAATTACCTGATTCTTTACTTTAAATGGTGCTAGAGTTAGAAAAAAAAAAAAAAAAAGAAAATCCTCTTTTACTTCCTTATCCTTTTTGGATTTGTTTTTTTACGAATCCATTTCCTATTTCTAAAAAGTTGATTGAAAAATAATGGAGGGTGAAACTTCATGAATAAGTCAAAAAAAAAAAAAAAAAAAAGGAAGTCAAAAACAAAAAAAAAAAAAAAAAAAAAAAAAGGTTGTTTGTTTAATAAGGTGAAGAAGGAGAAAATAATGGAGGTAAGTGAGAAATTAAAGTACTATGAATGTGGAAAGTGAAGAGAGAGATTATGAAACCTACTCTTTCTATAGCCTTGAATATGTATTGAGAAAAATAATATGTATATAAAGGGCAATTTTGTTAATTAACAAACCTTGCCATGCTAATAATAATTTATAACATCACCTTTTTTTTTTAACTGAAAAATTATATTAATACCCACAAATTTTAATTGCAAACTCTCAGTGCTCCAAGTAAGTAAACCTATATAAGGAAAATTTATATTCGATAAGCTAACATAAATAATCTTAATTTTTAATTTAAAATCTAATAATAATAATAATAATAGTAATAGTAGTAGCTGTTGTCTTGAAATTTATTTAAATCTTTCCAACTAAGACTATATTTGGCAACAGGTTTTTAACTAACTTTTAGCATTTTTGATTAAACGCTATTTTTTATAGTTACGAAAAGTTAACTCTTGTAATATTTAACTTATAGCGTTTTATAAAAAGTTACTAAAATAGCAAACAGCTAAACACTATTAAAATAACTACATTAACAATTAATTTTTCCAGATAAACCCTAAGTAACCTTTAAAAATTAGTGTTTTGGTTGATTTGCTTGCCTGCGGATTCTGATAGACGTCTATACTGTCACTACCAACATCAAAACAATCTTCTAAAATTCCTGGGTTTTTTTTTTTTTTTTTTTTTTTTGTTTTTTTTTTTTTTTTGGGGGGGGGGGCGGGACTTATGAATTTTAATTATTGTTGTTTCTTACTACATAAACTAAAATTAAATTACTCTTAGGGATGATTAGGCCCAACTTAAACTCCTTCTTTAAATTATATTTTTATTAACTTCACCAACTTTCATGAATTCGTAGCTAACTAATTAACTTAAATTTACTCTTTCAAAAAAAAAAAAAAAAAATACAACAAACAAACAACATAAAATATTCTAATTACTTACAAAATATGTATAATAATTAATAAGGGGGTTGGTGGCTGATTTGCCTTTAGGGATTTGTGTGTGTTGTGGAATTTGACATAATCAAACTAAAAAAAAAAAAAAAAAAATACAAAACAAACAACCTAAAATATTCTAATTACTTACAAAATATGTAATAATAATTAATAAGGGGGTTGGTGGCTGATTGCCTTTAGGGATTTGTGTGTGTTGTGAATTTGACATAATCAAACTATGATTAACAATTAGCTAAACCTCTTAGCTTTACATTTTTAATCTTGAAACACGTCAAATTTTGTTGGAACTAATAGTATCCTCCATGCGTAAATTTTGCATAAATTGTGTTATTTCCATATTAGTATCAATAATTTTTAAGAATTTCATTTTTTATATATACAGTATTAATATTATGTGTAATTTGTCATCACTTACTTCTTTAGCTTACTTAACCAAGTCTAATTAGAATTATCTCCATATCAATTATAATTTTATTTTTTCTTTTGATTTAAGAATTTAATTTAATTTTTTAAAATATTTTATATTAAATTTTATTAATTTATTTTGAAATTATAATGGATTTAAAAAATGAACATTTATATAAGCAATAAATTTATTTAATTATTTAATTGGATCTAAATCAATTTTATTTTATAAGTAATGTAAAAGAAAGGGTATGAATGCAATTCAAAAACTTAGAAGGGGTGACATTGTAGTTTACAAGGAACGCCAAGACGACAGATACGAATTCTAAAAAACACAACACAAAGCCCGAGCGCCCAACGGATAAGAGTAAGACCAGTGAAATAGAGAAGGAAAGGTTTTCCCGGGAGAGAGAGAGAGAGAGAGAGAAACTGGCAATGGCATCACCGTCAACGGCAGCAACTCTATCGTGGAGTTCTTCCTCTTGGCTTCATAGTTTTAGTGGACCCATTAATGAAATCTCCAAATTGCCTGACAAAAGAATGCCTATGGTGGTTTTTGCTCAAAAGAAAGCAAAAAAGACCAGAAAAGTAAGCATATTATTTGAAAACCTGAAATGGGTTTTTATGATTCTCGTTTTCTCTTATATGGGTTATTCATTTAATCACTCATTGCACTGTTTTAAGTTGCGAAAAAAAAAAAAAAAGACCCAGGTTCTGTTATTTTGCTCCATTTTATGTGTAGCTGGTAAAGCTTTTTTGATGGGTATTTTTAATTTTTGGTGGTGTTAGATAATATTGAAAGAGGATGTGGCAGATTTGGGGAAAAAGGGGCAGCTAATTGATGTGAAGGCTGGATACTACAGGAATTTTCTTTTGCCCATGGGCAAGGCCCAGATTGTCACTCCTATTCTACTCAAGTATGTTTCTTCTATTTCTCTGTTGATTATGAATTGCCTTGAATTTTTGTTGAAGCATCTTTACATTGTTTGAGAATAGAATTAGAATTGTTTTCAAGTAACGCTATGTCTGGTACCTGATGTAATTGAGCATAATGTAATCAAATGTTTTAGCTCATTTCTTCTTCAAACAAAGAACTTAAATTTGATTTGATTACATTTTGCTATGTTCAATTAAGTGTTATCATGTTTAAAGATGGTTACTTGCCTTTCACGGTGGACAACTCAATTTGCGCCAACTAAGTCTCTCTTAGGTTGAGAGAGTTCCACCAGAACAAGAAATTTAGCTTGAGATGCGCTTTATTCGGTCGCTCATTGTGGTTGCATGACAACAATTTTTCCCTTAGTTCCATATTTTATATGCTTTGAGAGCCCCACTAGAGCCTTGAGAAAATTGTTCTGATTGAGATATTCCTTGACAGCTTTCTATTTTGAGAAAGTAGTAAACATGGCGATTGCTTAATAGAATGAAAACTTAGAGTAAACATTTGGGCAGAAGAGCTTTAGGATGAGCATTTCATATCATAAAATGATTTAGTTTTTGCATGCACATACTGTTGTTACTTCCTAATCTGAAACTAATTACCTTGTGTTCTCTCAATTTTCAGGGAAATGAAAATAGAAGAGGAAAGAATTGAGGCTGAGAAAAAACGGGTAATTGAGTAGTTCATGTACATTTCGCTATTAGTTCTGTGTCTTATATGCCTCTTCTTCTAATTGCTATCATCATGTTTGAAAATCTTATCTTCTTCAGGTAAAAGAGGAAGCACAACAGCTTGCTCTTATGTTTGAAACTGTTGGAGCTTTCAAGGTGAAGCGCAAAGGTGGAAAGGGCAAACTGATATTTGGAAGGTAAGTAAGTGCAAATTTAAGGTCTTTATTGGTTTACAATTTCTCATATCATGTCTAATGGGCATATATTTTGGCAGTGTAACTGCTCAAGATATTGTTGACATCATCAAGGCACAGCTTCAGAGGTACTGTTTTCCAATATATTTTAACTTACCATAAGTCACCTTTCATTATCATTATCATTATCATTATCATTTTTATTACAGCACTCCAGGATTTTTTTCTCTTGGCTGGAAGTTATTTGCTTTCTCTACTCTTCATTCCATGAACTCCATATGATCTCTACAAGTTGCCATTAAGACACTTATTAGATGGCTCATGTAGATACAAACTCAAATTAGAAGTTCAATGTTTCATCTAACTTGTCTTGGGCCCAAAATCCCAACCACACAGCCCCAAAAAAGTTGAGATAAATTATTTTAGTTGTTTGTAATTATATGTTTGTTACCTAGCTACTTAAAAGAAAAAAAAGACCTTTGACCTTGTCCTATTATGTCAATTTGGGGTTATGGTAATAGACATATATCAATTTATCACTCTCAGTCAATGCCTTTCTATTTGCTAGCTGCCTTTGTCTGTTAATTGTATAGAGACAAGAAATGGAAGTTTTTTTTTTCACACTCGATTTGTGATTTAGGCCATGCATTGAGCAGTCTACAACTTGTGAACCTCCACTGCTATATGAATTATACTATTATAGTTTAGCTTTAGCAATTGGGCATCAAGATATGAATATAATCTTCTTAGAGAGGCACATGCCTAGACGTATATGCCTTTTTCTTCCATGCTTTTACTTGTCTAGCAGGTCGGGGCAGTAAGCTCCATCAACAACTGGGGGCTGTTCTCCTTTGTCGACTGCTTACTTGTGTCATTGACAAAGTCAATGCTACTAAGGACCGGGACACGGTTTTTTACGCATGCAGAGGAACTCTTTTTTGACAACTTGGACAACTTATACGATGTTTGTCCTGCTTATTGATCCAAAGAATGCAGAAGAACTTGTTCATGCAAACATGCTCATACACACACACATATATGCAGTTCATGCCTGTGCTTATTGCGTGCTCTTTGCTCTTCATTAATGCTAGGGATGTAGACAAGCGAATTGTTTCTCTTCCAGAAATTAGGGAAACAGGAGAATATATTGCTGAACTTAAGCTTCACCCCGAAGTGACTGCTCGGGTCAGGTTGAATGTTTCTGCCAACTAAGAAGAAGCATCCTTTAAGAATCCACTCTCTGACTGAATGATTTGTGTGAGCATCTTGCATCAAAAGGTATGTGCGCTAACCAAAATAATTTTTATAGCTTTAATTGTAGTGAATTCCTTACAATGGGCTGGGAGTTGCCAGATTAGAGGGGGGAAAAGCATTTACCAATTATGAAATAATATAATTATTGGTTCCCATAAATGCAAAATTTTAACTCAACAGATTCAACTTTCTGCTCAAAATTGTCAATGCATATTCCATAGTTCCAATTTTCGCCCTAAAACACATTTGATTTTCTTTAATATTGGTCTAATTTTAGAAATCATTTGAGAAGATTTAAGAATAATGGATCACTAGCTTTTGGCTGCCTGGATGTTCATATATTGCTGTGACTATTGGACTTTATGAGGCCAATAGGCTATAGACCCTTGGAAAATGATTTTGGCCTGGATGCAAATTTTTAGTCTGTTTAAGTTCTGTAATTGGGATAAATATATACACAATAAGAGTGCAAAATACAATTAGAGTAACTTTGAATTTTTTTTCTTCTTCAATGAAATGAAGAAGGCATAACTAGTTAAATACAGAGTACAGACCGATAACCTTCTATGGAAGAATAACAGAATCTTTTTGTCCAGAAATCTCAAAACTCGAACTGTACACTAATGCTAATGTTAGTATTATTATTATTATTGTTGTTATTAGTTTTATCATAGTAGTTCAGGATATCTAGAAATTTATCCTGCCTTTATCCATCAATCAAATTCATAGTTTTCCTAACGCTAAAGCTTTTCATTACTGCAGGGCACCGGCAACCGGCAAACATAGTAATCATATAGAGACTTCTATTGAGAAAATGAGAAAGTGTAATAGGTTTGGGCCTGAGATATGTACAAATCCTGTTTCTCCTGAACCTATATAGAATGTAGAATGTAATAGCTTTTTCTTGAACAGTTCTCTACTGTTTTGCTATATATTTTTACTTCAACAATGTTTGGATTTTGCAGTGTTTGTTTATTTATTTATTCCTGTAATTGTAGAATTTGCTATTTTATATTGGAGAGTGTAACTGAATCTGCAGATCTACTTGATAAAAACTTGTTCTTTTTTCCCTTGATAATCACTCTCCTTCCAGACATTTTGCACAAGGTGATTGTAATTTTTGATTTGAAACAATTTGGACTAGCTTTTGCCTTTTGGCTTTGCGTTGTGTCTGTTGAGTATTGAAGTTGAAAGTTAAATGAAAAAATTACCTTTGATGCCATTATATATAGCAATTGAAATTAATTAACTTTTTTGTAGTATTATGATATCAAAAGTATGTTAAATGTAATTTAGTATAGCAAAAATAAAATTTTAAATTTATAAGATTACATTATATAATTTAATGAAAAGTCTAATATTAAAATTAAAATTCTCCCAACATGAAAATGTTGCTGCCCAGGATCGAACTGGGGACCTTTAGTGTGTAAGACTAACGTGATAACCACTACACCACAGCAACTTGATGGCAGTTTATGTAGAAATTTATATAAATCAATAACTACTAAAATGCAACTTTCTTTCCCTTTTCACCATATGTGCACGCATACACGTGTATATGGATTGAAATACCACCGCATAATTTTTAGTTCTTTTGGCAAAAGTTCATATCCATATTTGAAAATGAGACGCTCTTTGGTCCAACATATAAATTTATCCTAAAATTTTACAAATTTTAATCTCATGATATTTTGAATTTTATGAATAGTCTATTTTACATTTGAATCTGCAAGTTTTGGTAACATTGAATATATTTCTTTATTAATAATAATAATGTTGAGGATTTTTTGGTTTTTATATAGAAAATATAGATTTAATATGCAGTTAATATAGCTTTTGTGAACAATTATTTTTACATTTTCAACCATCTAGTAATTATTTAATTGATTTAATTTTGAAAATTGAAAATATTTAATAAAATAATTTTGCAAGTTGAATTTTAATAAGTGTAATTATATAAATTAAAGTGTTTGATGGACTAAAATAAAAAATAAAAATACTACAAAACTAAAATAATAAAATTCAAGGATGAATTTATATATTCATTTCAACTTTTTCTTCCTTTTCTTTTTATTTCTTTTGTGCAATATTTTAGGCCACTACATTTTGGTTTAGTCTTAACCACTTATTCCACAATCCTAATTAATTTATTTTCCTAATTCTATCAATTGGATCAATTTTTTAATAACTATTTATCAAAAAAAAAAAAATTAATAACTAGGCATCAGGGTAAAACTTCACCACTAACTACAACAATAACAATAATAAAAATTAATTTTAACAAGACATTTAATTCACTTATTCATCTAATTGATAATTGATTGGCACCTGATAACTATAATTAATGTGTCTAGCTATTGATTTTAATGGTTGCATTTTACAGTTTTTTGTCGGTTGGCTAATTTGTATTTATTTTATATTTAGGCTCTTTTAACTTTATAAATATAATGGTTATTATTTTTTTAAATCTAATATTTTTATATAATTATTTTATTTATGTTTACAGTTCTTTTGTCGGATGGCTAATTTTTGTATTTTATTTTATATTTTACGGCTCTTTTAAACTTTTATAAATATAATGGTTATTATTTTTTTAAATCTAATATTTTTAATATAATTATTTTATTTATGATTTTAAAGATAATATCATACTATTAAAAATTAGAAAAAAAATTATATTTATTATAATGATAATTTATAAAAAGGAGTCTCTTTCCCTTTTTCTTCTTCTGGTTTATCTGACCCTCTAGCTTTTTGTTTTGGGATTGTCATTTTTAATCATGCTAGTAGCTCCCTACTTTTTTTGTTTTCTTCTCGCTCTTAGATCTTTTTTTTATTCATTTTTTTAACTCATATCTATTTTCTTTTATATTGTTTTTTTTTTTTTTTTTGCTTTTTTTTTTTTTTTTTGCTTTGTCTTTATATTTGGAGTTCTTTTGTCTTTTCTTCCATGAGGGTTTAGTTCTTTCTTTGTGAAAGTTTGTTCTTAAATGGTACGATATTTGATTTTATTTGGTTGGAGATTTAGATCTTGTTTTACCTATGTGTATTTTCGATCAATAGAGTTTGGTGGTGCTGACATATTCCTCTATTGATGCTATTAACGCATAGCGGCTTGAATTCATCCGTGTACATCATACACAATAAGTTTTTGGAAAAGCAATCCAAGCATAAAAGATCCAGAAAAATTATTTTTTCATCCAAATCAATTAAAGAACCAGTTGCTACTATAAAGATTTATATCGATCAAGGTTATCTTCATGCAAAAAAATCCAATATTATTGTAGGATCAACGAATTTTTTATTAATTATAATAATAAGTTCTATATCTGGTCTAATTGAATATATACTTGATTTTATTATTAATGAATTATATTTCTAAAAAAAAAAGATAATTTATGAAAATAATAATATCCTTAACGGTCATTTTATATTTCAACGACCGCTATTAAAATTTTACTAAACATCAACATTAATTAGATATTCGCTACGAACTATTAGCGATCACTATTAACTAGCATGAGTAGCTAAACCAAGTATGCCTTAAGGCATCAATAATTAGATATTTGCATAACTTCGTTCAACATGATATAATATAACGTAATCATGTGCATTTTTATTATGATATTTATACTAAAAAGTAGAAACGCATTCGATTACTTCACATATTATATTACATTAAAACTTACTCAATGAAGCCTTAATTAATGAAATGCATAATAAACTTTATAAAAAAATATTAATCAAATGAAAACTTGAAATAAAATTGTAAATCAAATAATCAAATATTTCATCAACGTTCGATCTAAAGAGTTTTGCATTAAAAGAGAAAAAAAAAGAGTATATGTTATGGTACGATAGAATTGTAGCCATATTTTGTGGCTCGTGCAATGTCTCAGATTGTACACACACTCTTTGTATTTTGTAACTACCATAATCTTCAAGTACCAACCTAAAAACATAATCATTAATTAAAAAGAAAGATGGGTTGTTAGAGATCTATCTGTTAAGAATTAATCTCAAATAATTCCATAATAACTCAGATCATGCAAACTACTAGATTCAACAAAATAGATTGAACAAAAAAAAGTTGCGTACCTGACATCGTTGTTCGTCGATCTTGATGTGTAGAATTAGGTTTGCAGCCTTCCAGAGAATTGAAGAATTGATTTAGCGGAAGCAGAATTGATTTAGCGGATAGCAGTAAACGAAGGAACGTAAAACTGAATCGTATTCCGACTCCTGCTGGGGACCCGACCTTATACTACCTGTAGGCGTTAGTACAATTCCTATTTCGGTCCTTTAAACGAAATAAATGAATTATATAATGTTTTTCCATTACACTTAATATCTATAATTAGTTGATAATC